TGTTCTCTTTGGTGCGTATCTCTACTAATGACATTTAAATAAATGGCTACCAAAGAAATAATTTCACAAAAATCTAGACATTGCTGGTAATACTGCATAATTTAGTCTAATATTTTGCAGGTCAGTTCCTCAAATCTGTACGAAGGAGATGTAAAATTATAATAAAGATCTATGACATAAAATTTCAATTTGTTATTATACTTTATTTATCCATAATTTCAATAATACAAATTATTTTGCAATAAAAAATATGTCAACTCCTAGCTCAATACCTTATCTATATAGGCCACATATAATTTTCTCAGAAAATAGTGTAGTTTTTGAAAAGACTATGCTTGGGTGAAGGTCTGTTTTCAGAAAATACCTTTATTCCCCTCTTAAGTTAATCTCTAGAAAAAAGGTGCACTTGTTTATTCTCAATAAATCAAATCGTTTTCGAGAAATTCAAATAATTATGTGAGAGGTTCATTTGTAAAATTCTATAACATTAAATGGATATGCTTTGAAATATCTCATATTTCTGACAATTTTCATAAAACAAGTACTTTGTGTTATCGCTTAGAAAACGTTTAATTATAAATAGTTGTCTTGATTATGTGAAAACTGAAAAATATATATCGAAAATTTTATCTTATTTTTAAATAACATAAAGAACTTCCTTGTTTTACGGAAATTGTTCGAAATGTTTGACATTTCAAAAAATACGCAGACGATGTTGAAGAGTTTTTTATTGTGCTATAAATGTATCCTCGTATGTAAACTTAAATTTCTCGAAAACGGTTCGATGTATCAAAATTAAATAAGGTACCTTATTTTTGTTTCTATAAGTCCAAAGAACAATATTTTTCTAAAATTGGAAAAATGGGGTGGAAATAAAAACATTGAGGACGAAGCAGTGGCAATCACCCATTGTAATATACCCTTTAAACAACATGTGGAATTTGAATAATACCTAAATTAGTGTCCACACGCTCTAGTGTAAGAGGGAGATGAATAAAATATTTCGAAAGTCTTTTAAGATATAGCACAAATATGGATATCTATCACGGAATATTTAAATGGATACAAAATTCGAAAAAAAAAATTATAAAAAGGGTACACTTATTCATTGGTACAGTATCTGTTCTGAAAATATCGGAAGACAATTTAGGATCATCCTGTATAAAGTTTTCCTCTTAAAATTGACTGGTAAGGCGGATTCTGAAGTTATTCGCATTTATTTTGAAACATACTTGTACATACAAAATGTCATATATTTTCATTTCGACATTAAGTAATTTATAAACCGTTTAATACTGCTATTTAGTCACTAATAGTGCTTGTTTCAATTACTGTAGACACTACGATCCTTTCTACTCATTTTAACTGTACTAGCTAGTTATTCACACACAAGAACTAGAAACACTACGTAACATGTCTTTTTAATATTTATAAATCGAAAGTATTGTCAATGCGATTTTATTTAAATTGCTGCATTTGTCATTCCAATCAGAAAATATAATATGGGTTCCTGAGTATTTTGTTCACTAAAGCTTTAATATGAAACAGTATGATGTCACTAGCTATAAATGAAAAGGATTAATAGGTAATAGGAACGTGATAGAGATAAAGACGTTTTTGGAATAAATACGTAAAATTACTAAAAAATAAAACAGTTTTAAATCAGTTATGTCTACATTTTTCTTGCTTTCTTCTTATGCAGAGAAATTTAAGTTCAATAAACCAGAGAAGTTAAAAATGTAAATAGGTATATATGTTTTTATGTTCTATATAATCCTTTACGCATTGTTTCAGAATATTGTATAATTCTAGAGCATTATAAATACATCGTCCTTTGTTTTTAAGATACAGAGAGAAAACGTTTGGAAGGACTGGATGCGACCACTTACAGGACGTCTCAGAACGTTACCATTGCTTGAACGGTTCCGTCCGTAGCGTCCCTAGACCTAATAAGAACGAAAATGAGCATCAATGCGGACCTAGGGGTTCTAATAGTGGGTCCCGCTCCAACAAAGCCCAACTCAAGAACAACAAGGGCAGGTCAAAGATTCCAAAGGCTAATGAATTGGAAGGCGACCAGATACACAATCCACGGCATAACAACTCGAAAATCCATCGTACTTTAAATACAGAACGATGAAGGAGGAGAGTCATTAATCGCGGTTTTCCCGCCCAATTAGAAAAATAAAAAAGATACATAATTTTTACAGCTTGGGACAAAACAAACAAATTGAAACGATTTTAATCCAAACGGTGGGTCCTCCCACCATCCACTGTCCTACATACCCCCCAATAACCGACCCAAATTCAACTACTATGACATGAAGTAATGGCAGAAAAATGACTTTTTACAGATCCCTACAGCCAGTTAAGCAATATTCACTTCCTTTGTTCTAAACGAATCCAACCCACCTTCCCCTACCATGTTCAACTGTTATGACAAATGATGTCACAAAAGTAACTCTGCACATCCCTAGACAAGAAATAGGTATTCAGTTGATTTTGGCCCAAAGTTTGTGTTTGCCTGACGGCACTTCAGCTTTACTTCACCAGCTAGAGCTTCTGATAAAGTTTGAGCTGCCATGTCTGAACATCAGTTTGAGTTTGCTGTCGGTGCTTTGGCCTGGTTTTGGCAGCCTGAACTTCTGTTTGAGATATACTTAAATTTCATGTCTGAGCCTTAGTTAGAGTTTCCTTGTCCGAGATTCAGATTTAGTTTGTCTGTCAGATATATTGAGTTTTACTGGCCATGGTTAAATTACACTCTACCAGTCTGTTACTCAGGTTGAGCTTGTCTGTCCGAGTTTGTGTTTATCTGAGCTTCAGTTTGAATTTTCTGACTTTTCTGCCTGTCACAATAGTTGGACGTGATTAGAATTATGAGGAATTAACGGAATATTGCTTGTCTGGCATTAGGTATGTGTAAGAAGACATTCTTGTGTCATTACTACCTGTCGTGTAGTAGTAGTTGAATGTGGGTTGGTTATGTGGAGGTATGTAGGATAATATGTTAGATGGTGCGGAATGGGTCCGTTTGGGCTAAAATCGATTGAATTATGTTTGTTTGGCCCCAAGCTATAAAAATCATGAATTTTTTTCAATTGGGCCTCACTTAATGACCCTACTCTTTTAATTTTCTTTAATGAATTTTGGTGGTAATATTTTCAAAATAAGTCAAATGTATTTGAATTCATGTAGACTAGTTTTTAGAGACCGTAACTATAACTGATTTGAATCATTTTTAAATAAGTTATATATGGCGTGTATTATACTGCAAACCAAAAATATTTTTAGGTCGTACATATTTGAGGTTAATATACTGAGGCTGTTACCTACAATATTTTTTATTTATAAGATAACAAACACCCTGTATAACTTGCAATAAGATTTTAGATCTATTTCATTTGAAAGTTGCTTAACTTTATCCATACTTGATAAAAATATGTCAATGTTTATTTCTCGCGTTCTCTCGCTCTCTCTCTCTGCTGGTTTATGATTGACATTTAAGTTTGTTAGTGGTTCATTTGTGAAAACTTTAAAGGGCTGTAACTTAGAAAGGATATTTTTCAGGACATATGTTCACAAAAAGAAAGAAGTCACATCTTCACCTGTAGAATCCACTACATATTTCATTTTCTACGATCAGTTATAGCACATCCTGTATATTCTTAGTATCCAATAAAGTAGGAAACCCGTTCTATGATTATTATACTATTAGATAAACATTTTATAGTAAGGATAATGGAAATCAGTTGATATTTTTAGCTGGAAGCTGTGATTTAGATTAAAATACAATAAACGTGTTTCTAATTGTTAACGTCTTCAAACTCTGTAGTAGGAAAGTTCCATACGTAAAAGATTACGATAATATATATTAATCGAATCAAAAGTTGATTAAATTAATCCTAGAGCATCTTATCAGTGAGAGAGATTAAATGTGTACACAAACAATTTTTTTTCTAACAAATATCATAAAAATTAGAAAAATAAATAAATAAAAATATTTATTTGAACTTCTATACAACTATAAATAAATAAATAACATATTTCAAGTTCTAATGGTAGTAATGTGGAGCAGCAGCTACTGGAGCGGGATGTACAGGGTGTCCAGATTTTTCTACGACTGCGTTGAAACCATTGTGATGATCAGCAGTGTAATGGACAGTACGAAGGGTGCCGTCAGGCTCGGCAACAGTGTAATAACCCTTCACAACATCTCCGTCACGTTCTTCGTGCTGGGATTTGTGGTCACCGGTATGAGCATCTTGGACTCCATAACTGAATTGGTATTTGGGATGAGCCTATAGGGATAAAAATATTATGACATATGGAACAGATAATAAAATAGTTTTATGATAAGGAAATTAGTAAATTTTCACTACATTTTGCAAATAAATTAAAAAGAATCATCAGACATATTTCATATCATATTTTAACGGAAAACTCATTTGAATGTAAAAAAATAAAACATGAAGAGGCCTATAGCGCTGTTAATAATTTCCACTGATATTAAAGTAGGCTAAAAAAATAATAAAAAGAAAACATTAACAATAAACTGTGATTTATAAAAAAAAAATTGTAATTTAAGAAAGATCTTAATGACATTAATGAAATTTAAAATTATAAATAATATAATTTTTCAATATATATATATATTATGTTTGTTGTTGTTACTTACGTCATAATCATCATGATGTACTGGGGCGGCATAAGCGTGAGAGACAACAGGAGCAGCATATGTATGAGAAAGAATAGGGGCGGCAATGTGAGAGGTAGAGAAGGATGAAGGATGAGATGCATAGTCCAACAAACCTGCCTGAGCAATAGCTACAAGGGCTGAGATGGCAAAGACCTAGAAATGCAAATACTCATTTAAATGTATAGGTACATCAAATCAGTAATATCCATTAGCACTTTTTTGCAATAAATCTTGACCTTGAACAATATGAGATAGTATTCATATATAAAATATACAAACGAAACATTTCAAACAATTTGGACATGATATCAAAATATCAAGTTTTTTAATTGAGTTAAAATATATATACATATTTTTAATTTAACGTATATTCAATTTAATTTCGCTAATTTATGTTCGGAATACTTTTCATTACAGTAATTACAGAAATTTAGTAAATATATTTATTTTCTTTATTCTTCTAAATAGTTCAATATTATTTATTTTCTGTAGCACTGTTACTTTTATTATTCACAATTACACACAAGCACTACACACCTTGGCGAACATGTTGATTTGTTGTACTGTCAATGACTGAACTGATGCTTACGGAGAGGAGATTTTTGCCTTTTATACCTATGAATATTAATTCCCAAAACAATGATAATGGACAAAATCCCCCCTAAAAATGCAATCTGAGTCGTAATGAAAGTGAATAAGAATGTGCCTAAAATTGACCTACATTCGGTTACATACGTATTATGTTATTAATTAAGGCAGACGGTATTGCATAAAGTCTTGTACGAAGAATGGTAGCCGAATTTGTGGGAACAGAGTGGGCAAATTACGGTATAATTAGTAACCTAAGCTTAGCTACTGACTTGCAGTCAGTTAACACATATTCAATATTGCAGCAGTAACTTTAAATTTTAGCTACTTTGGTTCACTTTTTAGTATACGTTTAGGCAACTTGTCTTCCTTTTGAGCTAGTTCTAAAATCTTCTATAATACTTTCAATATGCTGAATAAGAAATGTGCCTTAGTTTTAAAAGGAATTTCTTGAACTGAAATAATTGCGACCAAAGTTAAACCTAGTTTAATCACAACGACCATATTATATTTTGCAACGCAGGCAAAGGTATAATTGGGACTGATCCCAAAAGTATTAATTTTGTTATGTTTGCTTCATCTTTACAATAAAACTATGATAAACTTGTATAATAAATGAAATGTTCATAAGGTCATATACAACTTCATTTGATTTAATACCTTTTAAAGTAAAGTAAAATTGCAAAAGTTAATATTAAATATACAGCGTGGTAAAAAAGTTCTGCATAAAATTCATATTTTCGTTACACAATTTTTTTTTCGAAAAAACGGTGAGACTCGTCGATTTTTATTTGATCCAGGGCACCTTGTTATGTGGAAAATTNCTGTATTTTGGTCAGAAATATTGACAGCAACCTACTAGATAATGTATCAATAGAAATTAAAAATACACAACTTGCAATAAAATGTTTTATTTTTTTCCTCAAAAACGGTGCATCCTACGAAAAAAATTAAAAAGGCCAATTTCATTCACAATTGATGGCAGATTTCTAAAAAAAAAATACCAAAAAAGGTAAAGTCAGTGGCGTATAATTTTTTTATTAAAAAAAGTTGTGGCATTCTCGCACTAACGTCACTGGTGCAAGTGGAAATATTAGGATCACCCCAAAATAAAAACGCACATTTATCCCTTCAAAACGTTTTTCAAAATTCGAGTCAATATCTCTAAATCTGTTATAAAAATAATTAATAAAAATAAATGAAAAATTAAAATTATAACACTATTTCGGAAACGAAGCATATTTCGATCTACGTTGATATGAACTTTTTTCGCAAAATAACTTCGGCAACCACCCCCTAAAATATTTCGAACGTATTTACAAACACCCTGTATGTATAATTTAAGGATTTTTATGTCTTTATATTTGCAATTTTAAGCAATAAAGTTGAAACTAATAATAATTGATTTATATTCATTAGTCCTGAATGGTTTTTTACAATTACTAAGATTAAAAAATATACAGGGTGTTTTGAAAAGAAATAGCACATAGCAACAGCATAAAAATGACTTTAGTAAAATGTCCACCTCTTAGGAGTTACGGCCTCTCAAAGTTTCCAAAAAGATATGGAATAACGGCTGTAATATGAAAACCAAAAAATGACCTAATAGTCAAATTTTACACAAATTTTACACTAATGCATGTGCAACTTCTCAACGATTTTTCGAAAATTTCTGCCCCGTGGAGGGGGTAAAATTTGGATCTTGGATTTGAATGGATCTTTTTGGAAATTGGATAGGCAGTATCTTCTAAGAGATGAACGTTTTACTAAGATCATTGTTATGCAGAACGTGATCTTTGTAGCTGCAAATTCATCGCGATACCATTTATGCTACTTGTTTTGAAAACTCCCTGTATACATTTTTATCAACGATGATTATAATAGTTTATAAATAAAATACGAAACACTTATTAGGAAAAAATTCTAATTGAGAAATCCTGAAAACAGAAAACTTTATTGATACATTGTTTTCATATTCTAGGACATACGGATCCTCCGGATACGGATTCGGATCCTCCTAAATTGTATCATGATTTTTTCAGGACAAACAGTACATCAAGATATAGGGATACCTTTTCATTTTAACTATTCTTTGAAAATGGATAATAAGGGTGATATATTTACCCTTTTAAAAAGAGATGGTAGATATATTTTTTTACTACAAATTCTACATGTTAGATAATTTTGGATGGTTGACTATCACTTTTTATTTTTGCTTAATTCTGAGAAAATTGTTTACAAAAGACTTATTTATATATTTATTATTAAGAGCAGGATTACGAGAGCTAAAGTCGTAACACTTCTTAGATGGCGATTGGATGCCCTTTTCCTAATTTCTTGCATAAATTTGAGAACCCAGTTTTCAGACGAGAATCTACTCGTCGGTAACTCTCCATTGATAAAATCTAGCCGTTCGCCAGTAGATGGTACTGATTAGCATACATTAAATAATGCAAACATGTCATTATAGATGTCCTCGTACACGGCATCGGCAATGAGAAGTTTAAAAAAACGCCATACAATTTGCACAAAAAACGGGAACCGTGTTTTTATGAAGTTTGGTTATTTCATTTTTATTTCATTTATGATATTGATGTGTCCTGCGTCGTTTGACATCGTAAATATTATTCTAGTGTGTGAGTTGTGTATTGTACTGATTACTTTTTTTCTTAATTAGTTATTATTATATATTACTTAGTTATTATTATTATTAGTGACCTTTGTGTTGTGAACTATATTTACTGTGTTTATTATTTATTGTGTGTTTATTTCGCAATGCCGAAAAGCTTAGGAAAAACTAAAAAAAAAGGTCAAAACGTGCTAAATCACTTAAATTAATCTGGAAAGAAAGACACCAAAATCTGTAAAATAGTATTAAATAGTTTTAAATAGGTAAAAATGCATAAATTTACTCTTTTTAGATATAGGACTTCTACGGAATTTAGAGAGAGAGAGAGAGAGAATTCAGAGAATATTAGGTACAGTATTACATCAATAATGATTAATGAACAAATAATTTTTATTCGAGACTAGTATACTAGCGACTAGCGGTCGAGACTATAGTTTTCTAGATTTTTTTTTTCAAAAATATAACCTGTACGTTTAGCCCAGGGATATGAGGAAAATGCCGTGACTGTTGAGTAGCCAAGGATCTGTAAAGTTTTTCATAAAATTTGGGTGAATTTTAGTATAATATGTGCAAAACCCACACACCATCAGGTGAGGTTTTTTAATAATTAACAATAAAAGGACTAAAATAACCCAAAATATTACTTTTTTGCCTACCAGAAAAAAAAAACGATAATTTTGATTATAATGTGAAAATAGCCAACTTGTAGGGAATAAAAAAATCCCTTAAAATGGCTGTTTTTAAAATCCAATACGATAATTTGTTGCTAAATAAACAATAACTTTTGCAAAAGTCATCGTACGTTTTTGATATTGCACAAATAGTTGGCTTTTATAGTCCTTAAAATCAGATTAAAATTTCAGACCGATTCATCCAATAGTTTTTTGAAAATTCTAAATGTTTATCCCAGACGCATTATTTTTGCAATACCTTGACACGCAAAATTACCANTTTTCCACATAACAAGGTGCCCTGGATCAAATAAAAATCGACGAGTCTCACCGTTTTTCGAAAAAAAAAAATTGTTTAACGAAAATATGAATTTTATGCAGAACTTTTTTAGCACGCTGTATATGTACCTATAAAGCGAAGATTTTTCTTAATCTCATATTAAGGAATAAAAATTATTGTTAATATGATTGTTCACCTTTATGATTAGTATACTGTGAAGATACATATTAAAAATATTGTAGGTATGAGTAAATGTTCGATTTTTTATTATTAGTTTGCACAACTTCCTGTGTCAGTTACAAGTAATTTTGTCAGAATAGCACTAAAATAGAATCTAGATATAATTATGTTATGGCTGAATACATTAAAGTCCAGTACTAGTTTTTATATACATATGTATGTATAATACACGAAATAGAAAAATCAGGCGCAAGTCTCGACTGACATATACTCGAAACACTATATAATAAACTTTAGGTATAAGTTGCGCATTCAAATCTGGCAATTTTAAAATACGTTTAAATACACAATTTTCCAATTATTTTTTATTCAAATCGGAGACATTTTTTTCTCCACAACTATACCAAATAAAAACCAATTTTTCTATACAATGTATTATTATTGTAAAGATTTCTTGCCTTTTCTGGAGTATCTAACGAGAGTAGGTATATCCAAAGAATGGTCAGTGTAAAATCAAGATACTGATGACATGAAACGTGAAGTAATATTTTAAGTAAAAATGTTTCTATTAACAAGTAATCGAAAATGCTTAGTCAAAGAATGCGTTGACAAAAATACACATACTTTTAAATAACTTTAATACGGTCTATCACATGGCAGTGGAACTAGGTGTAAGTCTTTAGATTGTCTATCGCAATGATCTTATAGAGGAATAGTCTCCTCCTCATTCAGGGTTGCTGAGATTCAACGAGACGGAGATATATTTAAAAAAAAATTTTCGAATTTCAATAAAATTCATGTTTTTCCTATTCTATAAATATTTATAATTTACATCGTTTTCGAAAACATTCACATTAAACACTTTTATTCACTTTAATGATAGCGTCATGCATTGATTTGCATAAAATTTTATTCAAATAGTACGCCCAGATACGGGTGTATCTGGGATCTAGCGTTGGTACCAATATTTTAAACAATTTTTTAGTATTATAGTTTATACAATGTTTTAGTAAAGTCTTTATTGCCAATTATCTTGAAGACAGTACAGATTACTGATATCGATTGAGTACCTATCTTGTGTCTTTTAATTCATTTTACCGAAAATGTAATATACATAGGTATTAAAATGAAAACTTTTCCCTGCATTTCTACCGTTGTGAAAGATAAAAAACTAGCCCTCCATTATATTATTGCAATTACTCTAATCACTTATACCAAGTTTTATTTGGATTAGATGAATAGTTTTGTAGTTTAACTGATGATATTTCAGGAAACAGCTACTCTGCGAGCTACCTGTCAGGGCCACCATTGAGTTATACCTGCAATAAACCCTAAACATTTAAGACCGTTTGGGGAAGGTAGCTTAGAGAATAGTTTGTTGTTTCCTACAATATCATCAGTTAAATTTAGGTTGGTATAGTTAGCGGTAATAAGGGAGGCAAAATGATGTTTCCTATTTTCTACGAAACTAGCAGTGACATCTTTTAGGTTTTGGCGAAATATATTCACCCTGTAGGGGGCGCTTATTTTTATAGCTATATGTTCTTGAAGTCGCTGAATCCGAATGCGGTGTTCGTTTGATTCGATAAGCTCTGGTTGAAGGCCACTTCAAGATCAAATGTAGAGAATCAATTGCCCACAAAGTAAACCTACATATCTATACGTTTTTGGGGTCAGTGAATCCAAATCCTGTGTCCGTTTGATAAAATCAGGTCTGTGTTAAGGTCAGTTTACAGTCAAATATACAGAATCATTTGCCAATAAAATAAGCCTCCATATCTATACGTTTTTGGGGTCTGTAAGTCCGATCAGCGAGCCCAAAAACGTATAGATATATTAGTTTACTTTGTTGGCAATTCAATCTCTATATGTGACCTTGAACTGACCTTAACCCAGAGCTAATCGAGTCAAACAGACACCGGATTCGGATTCAGCGACCCCACATGTGGGGCCGTGAATCAATCTACAATCGTAGATTAGGTTATTTATTCAAGGTCTATTATAAGGAGCAATGTGATATCCACTACATGAGGTAAAATGATCCCGAGATCATCATCATCATCAAATGATCATATAGAAAACATTTTAGCGTTTTAGATTCTACAATCGCAATAGTTATTTTAAAATAAAGCCTTAGAATAAGCAATAGAAAATTACGTTATTTCACTTTCGGTAAGCTTCCACATCACGAATTGTGAATTGATTCAGCAAAAAAAAAATTGAAAATGTATATCCTCAAGCAATTCAGAAGGTTTCAATTTAAAAAGATGGTGAGAAACTAGTGCTTTGCGGACTAATGCCTCGATAATATTGAGTTATATCTACTTTATCTAGTAAACAGTGGAGATCATTTAATGGTAAAACTACCAGATATAGATCATTTCGTGTGGCCGTATCACACTCATTGTGTGATATGTCTCACCCATATTAAACTCAAAAGGTGTTAAAAAACGTGAAATTTATAAGTAACGCTTGTGGATGTGTGCGTATGTATGTGCGTCTGCGCGTATGCTATGTTTGTACGTGGATGTAAAATTGTTTACATTCACTGTTATGCGTAGAAAACCATTTTCCAAGGAGATTGTTTTATCTCAATAAGATGATCATTTTACCAGTACCGGGTATAGGCAAAATGTATTTTGTATATTTATTAAAAAACTAAAAATGAGCAATTACTTGTTTATTACTGTAAATGTATTTATACATTCAATCCAATGAATAATAATGACAGGAACTATGTAAGAATATATTTTCTGTTTAAATATCAACCTTTTATTTTAGAGAGATTATTTTACCCATACCTCCCCTGTCTGTGAGAAATAGGTCACACTATGCCGGTGTAAACGTATGTAGTGATAAACATTAAGTGGCAGTGACCATTCATACATGTAGCTGAGTTATTTAAAAAATATATATTTTTGTCAATACCTACGTCTTTATTATTATGTAACTTTATTGAGCGTTTTTGAATTCAAGTTAATAACGTTTAAAAAAAGTATTTCTTGTCTCCTAATTAAGTTTAGCATGTTCTTTTAGAAATACCCTGTATACAAATATACAACTTCACCTACCACCCACAACTTTTACATCCTGACAGTTACTACAAGAACGCTTACATTTAATAGGCAACCATACAAACACCAGTTCCCTCGAGTATCATTGACCTACAAACCACCAAGCTAATTGCTTCTTGGAATAAGAACAAACAGGAGAAAGTTATGTATACTTGTACACCTACTTTTCAAAATTGATATCATTACACTTAAAGACAAATGTCCAATACGAGCTCGTAGGATTAGTTTTTAATTATTGATTCGACGTAATAATCGCCTACACAGAAATTATTAATAATTACACTATAGCAATTCGTCCACTAAGTGATGAATTTGAAGCCTACAGTGTAACGTAGATGACTTGTGCTACTAAACACATTATAATTCGAGATCAGTGACAGTTTTTTATATAAGTTAACGGATAATAATTGCTACCTTACCAAATTTTAGTACTTATACCTTTATTCATTACAGCAGTTTAGTTATAAAATTATGTCAAAGCAATTTTTTTAATCTTAATCTTTTTGAACAAAATTTGGTGTGAACATTTTGAAATACCATAAAAATTTGGACTTGAGTAAGCGGTCTTAATTAGTATGAGGGCAAAAATTATTATTTATATAAGGTGTGGTTTCCTGTTACCTGAATGCCTATTTTTTTCAGAAAGGCGTTAAATCGCATGATCTGGGCGGACAATTCTGACCACCAAATCAGGAAACTACACTACCAGGAAATGACTCATGCAGTAATTGAATTGATTCTCGGGCTGTATGGCATGTGGCTTCGTCTTGGTGAATCCACATGTCATTCACATCCATATCTTGCAATTTAGACACAAAAAACTAGATTGCCATGTCGGGATAGCGAGCGTCATTAACTGTTATTGCCTGACCAACCCCATTTTCGAAGAAGAATGGTCCGATGATGCCTCCAACCCCCAAAATCCGCACTAAACAATAACTAGTGGGTTTTCTGAACCCCAAATATAACAATTTTGCCGATCAACGAAGCTATCGAGATGAAAATGAGCCTCATCACTGAAGATAATTTTGTTCGAAAAATCAGCATCCAGTTGTTGCTTTATAATCCATTCAACGAACACTCTCCGATCTACGTGGCCAGTAGGCCAATGTTTCGTGAGAATAAGCTGCAGAGGGCTTCTCCAAATGTCCGAATTGATATTCCTGGGCCCTCAACAACACTCTCACGAACTGCCCCGATGTTTTGTGTTGACTGACTTGTTAAAGAACGGACAGAGTGTTTAAGAACACTAATTGATCCAGACCCTCCGAATTTTTCAATTAACCTCTTCACAATTGATAAAGTTAAATCTCTATTCCGACTATTATGTTGTACGAAAATTGCGAAATTGCTCCAAATTCTTCATTATTTTTAAAATATTCCACAACAATGAAAACCGTTGTTCTTTCGTGTAGCGGTCCATTTTTAATAACCCTGTATTGTCAGCTGTTACACTGTCTTCTTTCTGTTTTCTTTTATATGTGGTAGTACTCAAAAAGGCCTACTTTTTGATATTATATTCGTTGACATGTGATCTTTTCTACGGCCTACTATCATTAAGAAAATACGCTCAAAAATTAAAAAACACATTAGGCATTTATTTAAGAAAGAAATGGATAAAATTTTAGATTTGATCACTACTCAAAACTCTAAATACAAAGTTTCATTATTATAGCTTTTATAGGGTCTTCACAAAATAGGTGTAAACTTCGAAAAATTTCACTCATTGCGGTGTCCTGTATTAACAATGGGAAATATTTTCAAGGTATTTTTTCATAATTTTAATTAATTTTTCCATGGTGGCAAAATATCCAATAAATAAAGAGAAAACGAATATACCAGGGTGGACCATTTTGTTGATATATTGGTGTCGAGACTGGAATTTCAGGAACAATACTCAAATCTGTAAGAATCTTACATTCGAGTTTTGAGAAACCATAATCTTCTCTTTTCCAACTTATTCCTTCATTATGGACCTCATATTGAATTGTAAGTTGATCGAAGAGTATATTTTAATCTCTTCAACGACGCATTATGTGTATAAAAAATTCAGTGTCATGTCGAGAAAGCACAGAAAAGAAATAGTGCAAAGGAAGTGTTGATGGTTTCTCGGAAGTGCAACGTTGAAACAAAGATCTGCGTCCACAGTGAAACTTTTGCAAAATGATAAATAAATAAAAAAGTTAGGATATATCGCAAAGATCGTAACAGTTAAAGCTATAGCTGGTCTAAAACTTACCCTATTCAATCGTTCTTTTATATCTTATGGTTTTCGAGATCTCTGATTTCTGTGGCCTACCCGGTACATAAATTTTATTTATTATTTCCAAGGTATTTTGTACAGACTTGAAATGTGTCTTCCAAAAAATTATTTATTAGTTTTGTCTTTTTTTGAGTAATTATACAATTCAAAACTGTAATAATCCGATTAGATTTATATGCAAATAGTCCTGACGTTCTCATAGTAAGACAATATTTTTTTAAGAAATAGCAATTAGTGCAAGACTAATTCATGAGTTACAATTCACATCATCATCATGTGACACAGTTACTTAATATATATTTATTTTAAACAGAATTGCAAAAATGTTCCTAATGTATGATGAGAATCCTCTTTCTTATGAGATTCTATTGAAGTATAAAAGATAGTTGCGTAGAAATAGATCTTCAGTGTCTGTGTGAAACTTGAGTGAAGATATACAGTTAAAATGTTATTAAAGGTGTGTGAAATAGTGTTTGAAATTGTACTCAACTCTAGTGGATATTACTCTTCAAAAATTGCATAAGAAAGATTTGAGAAGGAAAATTCGCGACACTACTAAAAAAAATTTGAAATAATTTAGCTCACAGCATTGTGATTTAGAAAATAGATTTTATAAAATTTACTCCTCGGAATTTCCAAGCAGACTATTTTTTTTTATCGAAATATTGTGATAAAATTAAGAAAAATAATTTAATGGAAACAGATATATTCTTCAAAATAATTATTTCTTTATACCGGGTGTTCAGGACATGAGTTGTTAAGTTAAGAAATTGAGAGATAAAAATTGATTTTCCGTAATAACTTTTTTGGTTTTCATTTAATTTGAACAATTTTGGATTGGCTATGTTAATTGAAGCTAATTTTACTAACGTATTTAATTTGCAGTTAATACAATGGGGGTGCGGGGGCAAAGCGCCCTTGATAGTCTTGCCTCCTAAAAAATTGATAGGCTTCCTTTTTTGAACATTTTTGAAGACTTTGGTACATTTTTAAATAAAAACAGAAGACTTGCTACAACAAACCCTTTGCAATGAGCGTTTTTATCAACAGAGGTACCATACTATTTCCCTCATATCTTAATAGCAATAAAAATCTGAAAACAACAACCGGTTTTTTATTTAGCAAAATAAATGCACAATGTCAGATCACATTTGATATTTCGTAAATATTTTGCTGCATAAATAGTTAATTTTTGTTTCAGTGTATTATTAAGATATAATATATCGAAAATACTACGGTATATTTATCGTTAAACGCATATAACTGAAACATGGTTCATTTTATTTAGGTATATCAAACAAGTACAGCTTTTTAACTTAAAAAAACACCAAACGGTCATAAAAATTATAAAAGATGTTTTATAAATTTCGTTCTGGGCTAGGACTTCCAAGGAAGCTTTGTCCCCGGACCCCTAAGGTATCTATTAGTACAAGAATCTATAAATTCATCAATAAATTGAATTCATTAGTGAAAATAGCTTCAAATATCATAGTTTTCATTAAAACATCCAAATTTAATAAAAAACCAAAAAAAAATATAACGAAAAGTCAATCTTCAACTCTTAACTTCAAGAACTCTACAGGGCGAGCCCGAATAAAAAACAGTGACATTTTCACAGGTCCTATCCGAATTGGAGAGATTGCCCACAATATCTTGGACACCCTATATAAAGGGAAATATTTAATTTCCTCATTATGTCAATTTGTTTATTGCATTAAGTTAATATATCTTTTTGATTTTTAGAATGCAACTGTAACTGTAATCTAATCAATTATTTTCAGTGCTATTAACAAATAATGTGTACTTAAAACGTTTGACCAAACTTTATTTACGATTCAAAATTAATAAAAAGATATGATATATGTCAAGTTCCAAAAAATAATTGGGGAAAATCATTAGAAAATATTTTAATAATAAAATTATTATTATCAGTAGGTACTGCAAAAATAACTTACATTTTTCATTTATTTTCGAAAAGCACTAAAGCCTCCTGACATGTAACAATAACATATCTTTTTAAAACTTTGCTCTCTCATAACGAAAATTACCAAGTCTAAACGCTGCATACTAAATTTAAATGAAATCTCTTCAGTTGTTTCCTTGTAATTTAAGAACGACTCCCCTAAAAAAAATAGTCCTTTAGTGTTTTGAAAAAATTTCAATTTATATTTATTATTTTTTATATTCAGCAATGGACACACACACACAATTGAATATATTTATTATTTTTTATATTGAACATGTTTTTTAGGGTACTATTTTCTGCACAGTCCTAGCTACCATTAATGCAGGATACATAAACAATGGCGCTTTAGGAAATGGTTACAGTGGCAGAAATGGAGGTGTGGCAGTATCTACAACATCATACACGACCCAACATGCACCATCCTTTAATAGATATAATCACAATTTTGCCGGTTCGCAGTCGTACTCTAGTCTCTACAGTTCAATAAATGAACAAATGCCTGTGAGTCATGGAGCTAGTTCCTACCATAGCGTCCAAGGCAGTGGTGCTGGCTACCACAACTATGGAGGAGTTGGTGGATATCATGATGCAGACTATGATGAAGGCTCAAATTATAATGTAAGTGAACACACAGCTCAATTGATGGAGTCTTCAGTGCAACACAGAAATTATCTAGATTTATCTATTACCTTATTTTTTAGGATCCAGCCAAATATGAGTTCAAGTACGGTATTGAAGATCCAAATACAGGAGACAAGAAGACGCAGCATGAAGTAAGAGACGGCGATGTGGTTAAGGGACAATATTCTCTTGTAGAATCAGATGGATCAGTTCGAGTTGTTGAATATACAGCTGATCCACACCATGGCTTCAGAGCTGTTGTCCACAGATCAGGACAGGAATCTGTGGCGTATGGTCATAACCCTCATCATTAAATTACAAATCATGTATATTCACTGAATACTAAGTATTGAATGTCTGCGAATCATCAACACCTAGTGATACGAGATAGGTACTGCTAATTCACGGACATACCGGTTTTACTACTAGTACTATTTTATTTCATGTATATTATTTAACTGTACATATATATTTTGTATTTTTATATGTAAATAAAACTGTCTGTATAGCAGAATAAGAAATATGGGACAGTTGTGTATATTGATCCTTTACCAAATTTGATCCTCTTAGTTGTTTTCCACAAACTTTTACTTTGGCACTATACCTACCCGTAAAATTGATTGGTATTATTTGACCACTGTTGTTGAAATTTTTTCCAGTACTTGAAGCTTCAACAATATAAACATGTTCATGTTTTTAGTATACTATGATAAGTAATCTAGTTTATGATCATGTTTTTAGCATACAGTTAGAAATGTTTTCGCATAATTGCGACTTTGATCATTTTCCTTTTTTAAATTGGGTTTAAAACTAATTATGCCGACACCAATTTGCTCTTCTTTTCTTTTTTGAACTGGTTCCTCTTATGATACTTGTTTCATCAAGTTTCTGTGACGAGAAATGCAGAAATAAACCTATTATTCTAAAGGCGCATAAGGGATACCAACAGAAGAAAATGTGAAGAATATAGGAACAACGTATTTTATGAGCGTTATGTAGTTTATGGAAAGATGAAGAAATTCCTTCTTGTTTTTTATTACTAAATTTGTAATTCCATTAAAAATAAAGAGTTTTGTTTAATTATGTATTTGTCCTCCCAATGCAAATTAATATGTTAATGTGAAAGAAAGTAAAACGTATTCTATCCGGGATGATATTTAAAGAAAACTTATAGTTAATGAAGCACTTTTCCCAGTGTATATTTCTCTTTGTAAATTGCATCTGAATTATAAAATATTTCTTAACATTAGCAATTTATATAAATTTTTCCAACAGTAGCACAAAATTTTGAAATCTTCACTGAATGTTTTTTACATTTGATTTGGTCAGAAATAAATAAAACACCTTTTCATATAAATGTAAATAATATTAAATTAAATATACTGTGTTTGTGGACTTTCTGTTATTTTCTGTTCTACAAGGTGAAGCAAAATTTATTTAAAAAACGATATCACTAAAAAAGTTAAAACATTTACTAATTTCGAAAAAAAAATAAAGTTGTATTCATAACCTAAAATATTCATTGTTAAACAGCTGTTATTTATTTAATTCACATTGTTCATTTACGAATTTTTTCATTCAGCTTTCAATTTTACATCAATAGTAGCTCCTATGACATTTTTTAGTTTCAAAAACAAATGCAGTCCTAATAACTTCTAGGAATATAAAAGTAATGAACTTGGAGTTGTTTGCTATATCCATATACTTACGTAAATATTAATCGATCGACAAAGAATTTAAAATATTTCACAACACTATCAATGTAAGTGTTACAATAAATGTACTAAAACTCAATCTCTCTGAAGACGAGTCTGAGCAATACCCTATTCTTGACAACACATCCAAAATAATATCAGTGGCAAGAATAGTCCAGTCAATCTAGACATTCAAAAATACATAAATTTACAACAAACTGAAAGTGATTAAAGTTGTTCAAAACATTATTAAAAATAGCATATTAAAATTCCTAATCGTTCCGGTACTCGGAAAAAAATTTACTAGAGGTCAAAGGTAAAAAAAATGGGTTTTTCGAGATTTTCAGCTAAACGGTAAGTTTTATGACAAAATTACCTCAGACAAAAATTGTAGAAACGTGTGCATATTATGATGATTACAACTTTTACAACTATTTGAATCGTTATATCTCAGAAACGGTGGCTCTTAGGAAAAAAAGTATTGATACATTTTTTATAAATAATTTTATGGTCTACAATTTTTGTCCGAAGTAATTTTATGATAAAACTTACCGTTTAGCTGAAAATCGCGAAAAACCCATTTTTTTGACCTTTGACTTCGAGTAAATGTTTTTCCAAGTACCGGAACGATGAGGAATTTTAATATGTTATTTTTAATTATGTTTTAAACACTTTTACTCACTTTCAGCTTGTTGTAAATTTATGTACCTTCACTCTTATTTTTTGACCTAATTTGAACAAAAATTCAATTCTAATGCTGTTCAGAGCCATGTTCTATGAACTTTAACATTAGAGAAACATTTTGATGGTAACAGAACATTTATGGAGCTAAGTTAATATTTTTCATTTCCATGGGCGTGTTAATATTATTAGAATGTCATAAACAAACATAATTTTGAATAACGACGTTGTTTGACCAAACACTTTCATAAGTAGACCATGTCTTTAAAATTATTTCATAACTGTGTTTCCAAAGAAAAATAAATATATAATTACATGTGTCCTTGCAATGCCACGATCACTAGACGAAGTGTACATACATATGTCTACACTTACTTTTTCGTAGTTATTTACAAATTTTAATTAAAAATATTGGTGTCGATTAATATCTTAGTCTAATTTAATATTTTTTATTTTATTCAGTACATTGCCTCAAATCAGGTCAGTTTTAAGGTCGCACATATTTCTGAGAATCAAATATTATTATAATCACCACTACTATTATTTACAGTACAATGGATACGGGTTGTGATATCGTGGCCTATGTAGGTACCTGGTCGCCGTCAAAATTGCATTACACTTTCTTAGCCTTAGCTAGGAATCTTTGACGCGTCCTTGTTGTTTTCGGACTAGGCTCTGTGGGGGCGGACTCGCTATCAGAACCCCTAGGCCGCACCGATGTACAAGCCGCTGCGGAGGAAACCGATACTTGGACAATGTTGATCCTCTGAGACGTTCTGTAGTGGCCTCTGCAACTGGTAAATGTTTCGCCGCGACTGAATTGAATGAAACCCCTGCTGATCAATTTTTTTAACGAAACTAGAGAATATATTAGTTCTTCTAATTAAGGTTATTTTAATAATGGCTATTCTCGTAATTTATGGACTACTAAATACGACAGCAAAAAATATGGAAGATAGAGGTTATGTGTTATCATTAATATCCCTTAAAGCACGACACATACTTAGAGGATATTTTGATTTCAGATGTATTTCATATTAGATTACATCGAAAATATTCTATTTTGCGACATGGGTAAATTTATTAGAAATATTAGATTATAATAATAATAATAGCTTTATTTGCCCAAGAGTGTACAATCACCATCTTCAGAGCAAAACTAAAATATTCAGAATTATAGTGCAAACACGATTTACAATTTCTATATGTTCATATAAACAAAAAGAAAATATTGAGCAGGAAATACTTACATTACTAATTATCTAAATATACTTACTAACGAATTAATTTAATAATTTCATTGAAGAGTTGTTAATATCACATGAGTGCGCAATGCTATTAAAATTTTTACTCATTACCTATAGTGGTGACTTCAGACGGATATTAGTTCTCGCTCCAAACATATGAAAAGTAATACCTTGCCTAGAATGATACCTAGGCGTATTAAAAGCAATTTGCCCTAAAAGTTCTGGACAATCGATCTCATTATGCAGCAGTCTATTCAAAAACTTTTAAAGAAACACGTTTTCTTCTTAACTCTAGAGAATCAACATTAAACCTATTTGGTAAATAATTATAATCTATTGCTCTTATAGGATATTGACCATCAACTTTTAGAGCCAAATATTTTAAAAATCTTCTTTGCGCTCTTTCTACTGCGTGAACATGAGAAATATATAAGGGGTACCAAATCAAACATCCGTATTCTAACTATAGAGAAAAATATGAAAATTTCAATAAATTAATGTCATTAAAACTTTTACAGTTTCTGACAATAAAGCCAAACATTTCATTGCCTCCGAAACTTTGAGGTTTATATGAGTATTAAATGATAGCTGATGATCAAAAGTTATTCCCAAATTTTTTATTGATGTGCAGCGTGATAGTATATTATTGCTAATGACACTTATATTTATAAAAAAAATTGTTTTCTTGTGAATGTTACTATATTGCATTTCGATGCGTTTAAGTATAATTTATTTTTGTCACACCAAACTTGAACAGTATTTAAATCAGTTTGCAGAAGCTTACAGACGTCTAATGATTCCACTTTGGAGTATATTTTTAAATCATCCGCAAAAGAGTTTGTGTGATCATATAAGGTAGCTTAAATCATCAACGAACAAAATAAAGAGCAAGGGACCCACATTGGATCCCTGAGGAACTCCAGATGTGGCTAGATATTTATTAGAGTGAAATCCATTAAACGGTACATACTGTAACCTAAGTAAATAAGATTTGAGGAACTGTATTAATTCTGGATTAAAGCCAAAGTGTTTTAGTTTTATAAGTAAAGTAAGATGATCAATACGATCGAATGCTTTAGATAAATCTGTATAAGCCACACCTGTCCTTGACTATCTAATATATCAGAAGTGTATTGAGAAAAAACTGCTAAATTAGTGACAGTGGATCGTTTATTCATAAAACCATGTTGATGTTCTGAAATTTGATGACGGTCTTCAGGATAAATTCTGTTATATAACAGTATTTCGAAAAGTTTAGCGAAATTTGATAAAATAGAGATGGACCTGTAATTCGTTATTTCAGATTTATCACCACTAAAACACCGGAACTACTTTGGCTTCTTTCCATCGAGTTGGAAATATTTTGGCTTTCAGGGCGAGATTATATAACTTAAAAAGAGGTTTAACCAAAACACTAATACAATCTTTAACTATAAAAGATGGTATGCTGTCTGGACCAGAAGTTATTTTATTTTTCAGTTTTTTTGCAGCAATTATTATTTCATTCTCATTATACTTTGAATAGATATGCTAACAGAAGACCCCAAGAGAAATTGCTGCATAGGTGATTGAAATTACTGCAATCGAAACACTGTATGGGTCACTGTTTCAAACAGCAGCGATTTTAGCTGATTTTGGCGCAAAAGGCTTTACTTTCGTCAAAAGACATGGTGTTGCAAGTCCACTTCAGCGGCGGCAACGTATATTGAAGAATCTGTTAAAAAAGTTTGAAACGGTTATTATGTAAATTCATTAATTAACTTCTCTTGAATATAAGGTTCTTAGAATTGCAAAGTTTCTGATTTAGTTGCTCAAATATCGAAAAATAATTCTTGCGCCATAATGGGAACTTAATATGGTTTTAAGACATTACCTTGCCTCCACGTCTTCAATAAAATCGATCCATGAAATATTGAGAGCTTCAATTTGCAATTTTCGAACTATGAAAATAATGGTAGATATTACCATTATTATTATTAAAACTATAAAAAATGGATGAACACGTTAATGATACTATAAACATTACGTATACAGTATTCAATAGCATATTTTCAAAGTAATATTGAAGTAGAGAATTTTTCGTACCTAGATGAAACACAATATAGGTATTTATTTGCGTTTAAAGGCAGCATCCAATTCTTGCACCATTTTGCAATATTGTTTAGGTCTTTCTGGAACATAGCAACGTTTATGTGGCACACAAGATCAGAAACGGACACCAAAAACAACACTGGTCCCAAAATCGATCCCTGGGGAACATATCATGATTAGTTTTATTCAATAATTGAAGTAAATACGTTTTCAATACGTTCATATTATTGAAACAGTCAATTAAGTTAATAAGTAGCAGCTGCAACATTTTCTGGACATTTCTTAGAAAATAACAATTTTGACTTATCTTTGTATCTCAGTTACTAAGCATTCGATAGAACAACGCCCAACACTTTCTATGGCACAAAATGTATCACCAAAACTTGATCCACCCTGTAGGTTGTAACAGTAAAAATACGCTACCTACATCTCCCTTATTATTAAAATCAAAGTTAATCGAATCAATTAACTGTAAATTTCAAAATATACGCATATTTCACATCCGATTGAATAACAAAGATTAATTTAAATACGCTAATTTATAAAAGTGTGCTACTTTGAAATAATCCATACCGCTACACTTACATCTCGATAACTACAACGGAAGCTTAGGGACATTGAAAGACACAAATATGTCGATCTTATGTAATCCTTCTTATTTAATAAGAATTATAAATATTAATATGAATCGAATCTAATTTAATAATGCATGCCACGAGCTGACATTGCCCTGAGGTAGTAACTAATATCGACTAATTAATGCAGAATGATTAAGTATTTGATAAAAGTTACTCAATTATCATGTACTGCGTTCATTCATATCTAGTGGAGGCTCAAAGAGCTTTTTAATATAAAAAGGAGCATGTTACTTTTTTTCAGTCAGTTTAGATTTGAACTTGCTCCGATTTATCAACTATGTATTCTAAAGTAAGTAGCTATAATTATAATTTTACAAAACATCATCCTTTCAATTGTTTAGACTGAATTTGAAATGTTTGCTACTGTCTCTAAAATGTGTTTAGTTGTTTCCTATTTTTTAATTGCCTATTAGATATTTGTATGAATATTATATTTTTCATCTCTGCTTAATTGTAAACAGTTTAATTTTGAGGAATTGTGCTAGTACATTGGTAACGTATATTACATACATTATTGTCCCTTTAAGTCGTATATCTTGTATTTTCAATATTTTTTAATTGTCGACTTGCATTACTAAAATATGAATTTTTATATACATTACCTTCATTTTTGTATGTTTGAATGAGATTTCAGGATATCATAGAAACAACCACATTATTTCAGTTTTAACATTACAGTAAATACAGGTTTACATGAAACAAAGAAAATTATGGTATCAGAAATTAGCCTTTATGAATTTTGGATATAGAATCGATAGTTGATAATAATTTTTAAATAAGAATAGATAGTTGGTTATGATCTAGAATGTTAGAGATCTTTTTCTTCTTTCCAAATACTTGGCATTTTACACAAAACTGAAGTATATTTTTATTTTCTGATAGAAAAAGTTGGCTGTTATAATAATTTACGTTCAGACATATATCTTTATTAATGTAACAATTTATCTTTGTTAATTAGATATGTTTTTTGTCAAAGGAATTTACCGTGACTGAATATGACTTTAGTAAGCCATCAGCAGTTAGGAGCCTTTACTATGAGTTCGATATCTATTGCATATCTAGATTTTTGATATCGAAGAACATTGTTTAACTTCATTGAAAGAGCAGTTTTTGAATTAGATTTAAAATTGAGTAAAACATATACGGTTATTTATTCAAAAATATATTTCATCGAGAAATTTCTGTAAATACTGTAACCTGAAAGGTTATTTCTCTATTTATCTATATATCTTTATGCCCAGTATCATAACGAGTCTGGATTTCAAAAGATTTAATTCTCGAAAGGGAGTTTACAATTATCATTATACTTTAATTAATACGTGGGAACTTAGAAATGTTGTACGTTCAGAGAATGAATACCAGACACTTACTCATGTACAAGGTAATCCAGTGGTTGGTTTTACAGGGTGACACTTAAGTTGGAAGAACAAGAAAGAAACACCAAAACTTCCAGGAAGTGTTTTAATAACAATAATAACAGAACAAACAAACAAAATAACGACACAACGGGCTCGAACAACATTATTAATTATTATTTTATTGACACGCGACAGCGTACCGAGGTTCAGGGAATGCGCGATCCATAGAAAAATTTGGAATGACTTTATCCATTATTAAATTAACCAGAGACTCTAAAACTAAGTAGACTGTTCAATGCGGAACCCAAGGAAAAACTGCTCGTTTTTCGAATCTATCCTGAATTCAACAACTCTCTTCGACACGCCCATTTCATGGGTCCAGAAGTTTCTGTTCTTATCTTATTGGCGGGAACCCTGAATATCGGGACGCTTTGGCATAACTATGCCATGTTAATAATTACCTAATTGACGGGACATTTATATAAATAATTCTGTGACTAACTGAACTTACAAGTAACCCTAGCTTTCCTCTAGTGACTCCGTGTAGCAATACGGGACGGATTAGTCAATCTCATTTAATATATTCTTAATAGCTTGGAAAATCCGCCTAAAAACCAGCTATTTGATCTATTACCTTCCTTTCCAATTATTATCAATTTAACAATTTGATTTAATTCTAATTTGGAACCTCTACGTTCTTCTCGTGGTTTCGCGCGTTATTAAAAATATGGGTTTCTTTGTTCTGTCCCAGCATAGGCTGGCACCTCCCGGACGCAACAGATGACTGTCACATGGCCCCGACGGTCTAAGTGAACTTGTTCAAAAATATTCCTAAATTTCATGAGGCCTTCGAAGGACGGCCTTGTGGCTAAACCTAACCCTTAACTTTTCGATAATTATTAATTTTACTGTCTGAGTTGGCCCATCCGTTCCGGAAACTAACAAATAAATTACCACGCGTCCCGGCTTTTGTTACAATACACAAATACACAATTCTGAGTGTAGGGCACAATATTTTTTGTAAACCACTTCAAGCGACTTGTAAATAAATATAAGCGTCAAAACATCAAATATTTCTGCTGACGAGGAACTGCGATATACCCCCATTTTGTTTGTAACGCAAGTCTTGACGTAAGAACTCGGTAAAGTTACTTCACTGAGCCACGAACATGAAAATCGCTCTCCAAGTCGAAAACAGAACAGAATTTCTTGTTTGACATTTGAGTTTGTCTTGAAAATGTAACGAGAAAACATGTCGTCGTTTATAGTTTCTGAGATTCTTGAAATACTACAAATTTCTATAGACTTTTAGAAGGTTGTTTAAAGTTTTTAATTTTATGTGTTACTATCAATAAAATGCATGTAGAAACTTAATTTTGTTTTTTTTTAGATTGTTGCCGTAATCTTTGTGCTTGCTTGTGCTCAAGCCCTTCCCATTGAGCAACACTACCAAGCCACATCGTTTGCGTCTTTCAACCAACACCACAACACGGTCCAACATCTCCATTCATCCCCGGCTATACTTAAGGCTGCAGTGGCAGCTGTTCCAGTCGTTCATGCAGCCCCTGTTCATGTTGCCCCCGTGGCTATCAAAACCTTATCTCCTCATTCCGCCCAATCCTACTCTTCACTTTCTCTTGGCCACAGTTCCGCTCCCGTTGCACACTACTCTGCTCCTATCGCCATTGCACAACCAGCTATACACGCAGCACCAGTATTAGTAAAATCTGCCCCAATTGCTGTGCATCATGAAGAACAATACGTAAGTAATCATTTATTGTAAATTGCTATAGTTTCTGCGTTACAAGAGTTTTAGTAGATACTAGTAAGTAATAAGGTTTCTAAAAAAATTTGAATAGAAAAATTAATGGATCAATAGTTTTTGAAAAAAAATTATTATTTGTTAATATTTCTGTCATTCTGCTATACATTTTACACATTTCCATTTCTTTACTTATTATTATCATTATTATCGTTTCTATTTGCTTCAGTTAAGTTTCTCTTCATAAAAATTATGTATTTTTCATATTTTATGAATTAAATACCTATCTCTTTCAATTTAATAGTTTAGGCATCACATAAAAGTGTTTTACTCTCACAGTTAACTGTTTTCTCCATAAAACATATACAAACAGCTTCACAAATACAAATAGTTTGTGGTTTATTGTATTGTGTATCATTCTCAGTTTAGCACAATTCCAGTATTCCGACTTTTTTCACAAGTTTCTTCAGTTTTGTCATAATTTGCGTGCTATAATCTCTGCATCCATTGGTTGCCTATTAGAGATGTCTCGTGGATATGATGTGCTGTTTTTCCTTCTGTAATCTAGGTCTCTGTCATACAGCCCAATATTGTTCAAAATGCCATAATACCTGTAAGGAGAAGTGTCACTATACATAACTGACTCCAATATAATGACGGTAGTTCTTTGATATTCTTCCTTGGTGGTTATTTGATGATAATACTCCATATTGGTCCCTAGGCAAATTGTTCTGTTAGCTGAACACTGATAAATTATCACAGCCCCGCAAAAAAAGTATCAGATCTGGTATTCATACCCATGTATTTCCATGTATTTTATTCCGCAGAATCCGAATCTGCTTTCAGATTTGGCCTACCGGGTTTGAGTTTCCGGGAAAATTAAAAAAACCGGTCAAAATTCACAAAAAACGTCATTTACGATCGACGAAAGTTATAAAAAATCAAATTATTCTACCAGCTCACTAGACGTATGATTTTTTACTCGTTTAATTCCAATTTATCAGTCAGACAAGCTGGTCCAATTTCATTCAAAAACAGAAAATAAATCAAAATGCTTAAAAACGCCATTTTCATGGCATAATTCGTGTTGCAGAGTTCTGGATCCATCTTTTTATCCACCACCCATTTATGAATTCATACATGTTTCTATCCAGTCGTTCATGCATGAATACGCATATTTATTTTATCCACCTGTATCACCTATAAAACCCACCCATCCACTCCAGCCTAGAAGGTTGAGAATGCAATAAAACTTGTAGAATACTCTACTATCTAAACAAAAGGAAACGATATCTACAAATAAGAATGATTTATAGATATCGTCTTCTTTTGTTTTATTGCATTCTCAATCTTCTAAGCTGTTATATCATCTCTCAGTACAAAAAGTAGATGGATAGATGGGTGGGTTTTATAGGTGGTAAGGTGGATGAATAAATATGCGTATTCATGCATGAACGACTGATGATAAATTGGAATTAAACGAGTGAAAAATTATACGTCTAGTAACCTGGTAGAAAAATTTGATTTTTTATAACTTTCGACTATCGTAAATGACGTTTTTTGTGAATTTTGACTTATTTTTTTAATTTCCCCCCGAAAACTCAGACCCGTTGGGTCAAATCTGAAGGCAGATTTGGATTCAACAGAAAAAAATACATGGAAATAGATGGGTCTGAATACCAGATTCGATACTTTTTTTTGTGGGGCTGTGATCCTTACTGAATTGTAGTTGCATTGTTCCAAACTACCAACTTTTTTATTTAGAAATCAGCATTTTGGTGTAACATAGTTTAAGCATTATTTAAATCACCAGAAATGACACTTAGAAGTTTATGTCTGCAGAAATATGTGGTTAATATTTCGATTACTATTTTAATATTGAATGAAGCAATTAAAGATAAGTACCAAAGTCGTGTGTTAGCGTTCAGCCATTTTCTCTGAGTATTATTATTTTATCATTTCGAGACCATTTACATACTGATTTATATAATTTACTAAATCATTTACCATATAATTTTAGGCACCCGCCAAATACGAATTTGCTTATGGAGTTGAGGACCACCATACCGGCGACATCCATTCCCAAAAGGAAAGACGTGATGGAGATTTAACTCAAGGCGAATACTCCCTTCACGAAGCCGATGGTACCATCAGAACTGTCAAGTACACCGTTGACAAACACAGCGGATTCAACGCCGTAGTGGAAAGGACTGGTCACGCTGTTCATGCTCAACCTGCTCCTGCTAAGGCTATATATGCCGCCCCTATCGGGAAATCAGTTGTAACCGCCCCTGTGTACCACCATTACTAAGTTATTCTTGATGTTTCTATAACTACTGTCTCAGTATTTCCTTATTTATTTATAATAAACTATTTTTACTATATGAATTATTTTAATACTGATATCTACACGAATCTGTAAATATATATTTGTAAAAGTCAATTTAATTCTGTTCTATATAACTTTTTCGAGAGACTGTACAAATTTTGTACCATCTCTTTCTAAAAGCTCTAGATTAATTTCAATTGTATTGTACTTAATAACCTTTTAAGACAGTTTAACTTCTAAATCTTTGAAGTTCAATTTATGGCCAATAAAATAGGTACCCAATTTATGGCCGATACAATAATTGGACACTTATCCACCGCACCGTCGCCGTCGTGATAAAATCTACTAACGAGTATCAATGTCAAAATAATATGTTTGTAATCCCATTCACCATGGTGCGGACACACCTACTACTGGGATTAATTTAGTAATACGAAATTGTAGTAGGAAAAAGAAGTGTTTTATGTAACAATAAGTAGATTCATATCAAGCAACCGTTTTCTCTGATTTTATAAATTGTGATAAGTGACACTTTTCGGTAATTATAAAATAACATATAGCAATGTAGTTATATTCTATAAAAAAATCGTTAAACAATAATTTACGAATACCAAACGTAAGGTACTTAGGGTAAATTTTGGGCAGATTCCTTTTCTGGTGAAATGTCCTACAAAAATTGTTAGTACTGTTTAATTTAAAGAACAAACTGCATTTTTTTCTTATATGAATATGGTCCGATTCGTTTTTGTTTAGAAGCTACAAGCATTTAAAAAATATATTATTTCGTATTTCAAAGTAGCGTGATAAATAAAAATGATTCGTGTTTAGAGTTTAAACATTAGTTAACCTTTATTAACTGAATTAACATATCTTAAATGTCCACCCTCAGCTCGAATGTAAGCTTCACATCAGAAAACTAGAGATTCGGGCAGTGATTTCAACATGGTAGACAAGCTGCTTCATATGTCTCCATAAATAAAAGTCCTGAACCAGCTGTGATGTTCCTACTGCTGGAAGAAAGCAATTATTAAACCTAATCTTACCAAAAAAACAAACCCTTCAGAGTTGAAAGAATTACATCCGATAAGTATTCTACCCACACTATCGAAAATTCTAGAAGAGAGAGTTCTTGAACATCAAATTAATATATATTTGGATACTCATTCATTGCTACCCTCACAGCAATCAGGTTTTCGTAGACTTCAGTTGTACTACTGCTTTACTTCATATTACTGATCANTCCGATAAGTATTCTACCCACACTATCGAAAATTCTAGAAGAGAGAGTTCTTGAACATCAAATTAATATATATTTGGATACTCATTCATTGCTACCCTCACAGCAATCAGGTTTTCGTAGACTTCAGTTGTACTACTGCTTTACTTCATATTACTGATCATCATAAACGCTACAGATAAAAGCCAGTGCACAGTATTAGTTATGTTGGATTTTAGCCCAGCATTTGATACTGTACACCATGATTTGATGATGATGTTAAAATATATAGGTTTTCAAAAAACGCATGTTTATTATTAAAAAATTACGTTAAACTTAAATGGCAAAAAGTTAATATTGACGGGGTTCAATCATATTATGTTTCGTTAAAATCAGCTGTTCTACAGTGATCTATACTTGGACCATTATTGATTAAAATTTATACTTCTCCTCTTGTAACTAAAATACGTTATTGCAACGCCCACTTATACGCCGATGACACTCAGATGTATTATAGCTTTCAACCTCACGAAGTGCGACAAGCTTGTATTACCATTAATGATAGTTTAAAAACTTTTATTGATTCCGTAACTGAACATTGTCTACTTATTAAACCTATTAAATCTAAAGTAATGATTTTTGGTAGTAAACATCACCGTACAAATTTGTTAAATTCAATTAATATTGTCATTAATAATAAATTGCTCGAGGTAGTAAATAAAGCAGAAAATTCTGGTATAATATTTGATTCCGATTTGAGGTTTGAAAAGCATGTAAATAAGTTATTACAACGAGCGTATTGTAATATTAAAATAATTTATGGAAATCGTCACTTATTCCCGGCTCTCATAAAAAAACAACTTTGTGAAACCCTTGTATTATCTCTATTTAACTATGCTGATGAATTATATGGACCTAATTTGACACTTCTTTACAAAAAGAAAATACAAAAAGTTTAAAATGCTTGCTTACGTATGATATTTGGCATAAGAAGACAGTGTCGCATAAACTGAAGGAAATACGATGGTTGAATGAATATTATTTATTTAAAGTTGCCTGCTACTTTAAAATATGAAATTATATTTTTGAAATGGTTGCAACTTCTAAACAAAAACGAATCGGACCTATGTTCTTATAAGAAAAAATATTTGAAATTAACCCAGTTACCATCTGTCAAAGTTTGTCATAGAACACCCTGTATTTGAATAGAGGGTTCCACGGCAGATATGCATTTTTGTAGACAGATAGATGTTGTTGCCAGTTATTCGTTCTCTTCTTTGTTATTTGGTATCTTATTGATGTTTGTACAATATTTCTCCAAATACATCTATCTCATTTAGAGCTAATATAGCCCCATTTCTCGGCCAAGTATCTGTGTGGGATGGCGATATATAAGATAACTATTCGTATAAGTACATGCTGTACTCTAGGATGACATTCAGTTTCCCTTTGACGAGGGCATATAGGCACAGAAGGCTATCGTTTTCTTCCAATTTCGCGGTGAAGCTGATATCGGCATATATTCTACTATTACCTACTATGAACCAGAAATTTTTAACTATTGCTATATATACCAGGCTTGATGATAAATATATCGTGAACATAAATGAACCTACGGTTTGATTTAAAATTTCTTCTTTTCCAATGTTCCCTCATACATTTTTTCCACAATCCATAACTACTCCTTCAATTTGTATATAATACCAATCTTTAAAGGAGATATATGTTCATTTACTAAGTTTAATAACTATAGCCTAAAGCTTTTTCTCTGCTAAACAATTTTATCGCCTGCAAAAGAAAAGTGAAATTATTTTATTAAATCTTTGTCAGTCAATTCAATAAAAACCAATAATTTCTTATGTTGGTTTGAACCTTTTGTCGGTTTAACTAAATAAAGGTGTCAAGGAATTAAAATTCAAAAGAAATGTTTCCAAAAATACTTAAACTTTAATTTTCTTACACCAATTTTAGGAATATAACTGCATAAGCTAATAGAAACACATGACTTGCAATGCTGAATTTAGCAATCAATGAAAGCAGAAAGTTACACGTTTAATGACAGTCACATTTAATCACTGAAGTGTAACCACCCATGTAAATATGTGAAAGGCGGGGTATTCTCTGTATATAGAAATCAATTAATATATTTTTATATATTTATATATTTATATAAAATGTAATATACTTTTCTGTTCAAAGCGGTGATTTGTTTGATATTTATCGTGTACTTACATATTTTTTTTGCTTGCCTAAAGCGATATTTTTCTTTAACAAAATGCCAAAATTCGTAACTCAATAAAATAAATATGTGTTCTATATTTATATAAACTATGTTCCGATTTGTTTTTGTAATACACAATTCATCTGTCACATCTTCATTAACAAGTGGTGTAGATTATTATTAAATGTTACCAGAAACATGAATATTACACAATAATTCTTCCTACTTACATATTTACGGAGAAGGTAACTTCTCAAAATTTTGCGATATAAAAAGAACGTGGTCATTTTTTAATCAGTACAGATTTCAACGTCATTAATATAAGTAAGATAAGATGTGTTCAAAAGTAAGAGATAACTCTTAATTTATTTCATGCAATATGATTTTACTACTCATTGCGATTTGTGTGATTGTGGGTGGTCAATAATATAATTGACCGAAATTTTGTCGGAATGAAAGCTTATTCGTTATATTTGAATTTGACAATAATGCAAGTTTCTGTGCTTTTAATGTTGTTTGATTTATTTTACTTTGTTTAATTGATGGATTAATTAACTAAATATTTATTAACTATGATCATTGCTACCGTTTAATGTTAGTAAAAATTAAAAAATACAGTTCTAGATCTAGTACACGATATTTTATTAGATTTAAAATCAACTCTAGTGGTAAGAATTTGTTTTTTGATTTTATGCATTAGTTTAAATAAATGGACAATATTATTACATTATTTAGATTTTAAAAACAAATTTGGTTCCTAGATCTTTGTAACGGTTGCAAAAGTTGGTTCAGTAAAGGAAATTGTGACACTTACTCACTTGACTCAAATAGATATCGTAAACTTTTGATCTGCAGGTTTTGGGAGCAGTTATTTTACTTGCTTGTGCTCACGCTCATCCCATTGAACGACAGTATCATCAAGCGACTTCGTTTGCTTCATTTAATGAACATCGTAACACAGTTCACCATATCCATTCAACTCCAGCTATATTGAAAACTTCAGCAGCTTTCCCTCTACATGTTCCTCAAGACATTGCACCAGTTACCGTAAAAACTTTGGTACCACAGGCATCTGCTCAGTCGCCTTCTATCAGTCACGCTGCTGCACCTTTTGCAAAATTAGTCGCCCCTGTAGCTACTCATTCCTCATCAACACTAGTTCAGTCTGGTCATCATGAAGAAGAACACGTAAGTTTATTTTCTTAAATAATCATTTAGACATGTATCAAGTTTTGTACTTATGTTACAACAATAAAATTACAATCATATTGCTACAGATAAGAGAAATCTTCAAATATTATTCAATCTTCCTAAAAATAAGTTTAAGACCGGTGAGTTGGTTTTTCTTAGAGTAATTTGGAAAAAGGTTGCATGAAATTAACATTAAAAATCATATCATATTGTAATATTAATCATAGATCTATGTGACCAGAAAGTTGTTCATCCAAATTAGGCTCCACAGATTTGATAGTAGCTTCTTCGCATATTTTCCAGTTTTTGCTCCAAATAGATAGAGAGATGGAACACCCTTGCTGGACCATCATATGCGCACAATACATGGACTACAGTCTTATTTTCCTCTTGGCAAAATTGCATAAGATGTGGTCTACCAAATCAACATTACTGGGATATTTTCTGAGTTTGCAGTACCCAGTTAGCAGTCCAGTTATCTTTACTGTTATTTGATTTTGGTTTAGTAGATCCTTTGCCAATTCCTGTCAAGATTCTGTGTATCAAGTTTTGATATAAAATTCTTGAATCTCGAATCTGAAATGCTGACAAATAAACCTTAATATCAATTGCAATTGCTAACTTTTTATATTTTTCTAACTATTTTAATCGAAAGCTTAAAATTCCAGTCATTACTATATCGAGTTATTTTTATATATAATTTTAGGGACCAGCAAAGTATGAATTTGAGTACGGAATTGAAGACCACCATACCGGCGATATCCACTCTCAGAAAGAAAGTCGTGATGGTGATTTGATACGAGGTGAATATTCTCTTCATGAGGCCGATGGTACCATAAGAACGGTCAAGTACACTGTGGATAAACACAGCGGATTTAAGGCCGTGGTGGAAAGGTCTCGTCATGCCGTTCATACTTAATCCACTTTGCATCATTAGCATAGTCATTACATACAGAATTTTTATGTTGTGGTAGTAGATATTATTATTTATTGAGAATTGTTTAAATAAAAAGTTATATTTGCCATTGTTTATGTTTATTATCGACAAGTTGTCCTTATAATTTCAGTATTCCTTTAAACGGCGTACTGTATGAATGATTTTTTGTTAAGTGATTCCCAAGGGCTCTATAATACTTCAAATATTGAACGTGAAATAGTTTTGATTAATTACTTAGGAATTAATGAAGATATTTCAAAATTGATACAGTGTAGTTACAATTGGTGGCGTTGTAATTTGGAGGAACCTGAAGAGTTTCAACTGTCAGAAAAATATTCAGTGTTGAAACAAATTTGTAACAGATTTCATTTTCAATGAAAGCTTTTGTATTTCTTGATATTCTTTTATGCATAAAATGTGTGTTCTGGTATAAAAGTTCAAATAATGGAGTCTGCTCATCAGTGGCAGACAATAATAAACAACCAACATTTTTTTCTAATTTCATAATAATGTAACCTGAGGGGTTATTTCTTTATTTAACCATCTACTGTTATGACCAGACTCATAACGAGATTAACTTGCAAAAGAGCTTATCATTTACTTCTCGAAAGGGAGCTTATAATTATCATTACACTTTAGTTAATAACGTGGGAACCTAGAAATGTTGTGCGTTCAGAGAATGAGTTCCAGACACTTACCGTACGTCGCTCATGTAGAATGTAATCCAGTGGTTGGTTGTATAGGGTGACACTTAAGTTGGAAGAACAAGAAAACACCAAAATTTTCCAGGAAGGGTTTTAATAACAATAAAAACAAAACAACGGTAACACAACAGACTTGAACAAACATTATTGATTCATTTACACGCGACAGCGTACTGAGATTCATAGAATGCGAGATTCATAGCAAAACTTGGAAAGATTTTATCCATTATTAAATTAACCCGAGACTCTAAGGCTAAGTAGACTGCTCAATGTGGAACCCAAGGAGAAACTGCCTTTTTTTCGGAGATCTCTCCTGAATTCAACACCTCGCTTCGACACGCCCATTTCATGGGTCCATAAGTTTTTGTTCTTATCTTACTGGCGGGAGCCCTGAATATCGGGACGTTTTGGTATAAGTATACCACGTTACATAGTTATCTAATTGACTGAATTTACAATTGTTTAAATAATTTTGGGAATAAACTTACAACCCTACACCTTCCTCTTGTAACTCTGTATAGTAATAGGGGATGGATTAGTCAATCTCATTTAATCTATTCTTATAGCTTGGAAAATCCGCCTAAAAACCAGCTATTTGATATATTATTATTTTCCTCACCACATCCTAACAACTTATTTAAATATCTTGGAATTCCTACGTCCTTTCGAATGCACTTCGCGCGTTATTAGAAATATCGATTTGGGCTAAATCGTTGCTAACAGATGCCTAACACATATGGCCCCGACGACGGTATAAGTAGACTTGTTCAAAAACATTGCTAAATTTCATTATGCCTTTCCCGAACGGCTTTGTGCTAAATCTACTTGAAAACCCTTAACTTTTCGATAATTAGTGTTGACTGAAATATTTTACTGTCTAAGTTGGCCCATCCATTCCGAGAACTAACTAATAAATTACCACGCGCCCCGGCTTTTGTTACAATAATGAGGAAATCATCTACGTAAGAGATGAACAAGTTTTATATATTCTTCAGCAGACATCAAAGCTATATTTAGAGAAGGTTTGTCCAAATGCGTATATGAATAGAATTCTAAGTAGCAATAAGTTTTTGTCAGTTTAAGTTACCTATTTCTAATTCCGACTTTGCTGATCAGTATTTTTGTTACGTATTTGATTACTTTCGAAACTGTGTATTCCCTTCGAATCTTTAGAGGATCCTAGAACCCTCAAGATCCGTTTTAGTAAAAAATGTTCTCAGATTATTTTTGTTGTGTTTTGGTAAGGTATATTAGTTTTTAACGATTACTAATAATAACTGACGAAAATATTATGTATATCAATATATTGTAAATTATTATTTATAATTTTATTAGACTCCTTAGGTTGTATTGTAAATACTTACTAAATTATACCGTACTGTACACTATGCTGTTTGTTTTCAGTGGATGATAAAATTAATACGTTGTGGGTTTGTCACCAGTGTATTTAATAATTCTTACACTGCCATCGTCTTCTTCGAGGAAATATTTACCTTGGACTTTGTCTCAATCACGGGTCTCTTTTCGCAAGTGAATGTCACCTGCGTGGTGGTCCTCAACACCATATACGAATTCGTATTTGGGATGACCCTTTCGGCAAAATAACTTGTAAATAGCTACACCAGCAAAAGAAAGTTTTTGAATACAAGAATGAGACTTTCGAGTTCATTAAACTAAATTAAACTCAAATGTATTGTGATGTATTTATTACAATCTAAATACATTAAAAAAATATAATTAATTTTTTACTTCGCTAAGATTCATCTATTATGAGTGATGATTGAAAATATCGAACTTGTTATGTTCCAAAGTAAGTATCGTAGATCTAAGTTACATAACTTGTTTTTTATCGTCTTATTAAAGAAAACGCATTGAAATCTAAACTCTATAACTGAATTATTGGCTTCTATTTATTCTATTATAAAAAATAGAAGGCATATTGGGCTTTAAAAGAAATTTCCAATTTTCCCAAAAACTGAAATAAAAGAACAAACAACTTTTATTGCAAAGATGTAAAGTACAATAATTACTGACTAACAAAAATAAAAATAACTTTTTTATTTTGATATTTTCCTAGTGTTCAAATTTGTGGCCGTTTTTTTTCAATATATAAATGGCTTCTACGAATAACAGACTGTGTCGCATTAGTAAGTTGATATTCTATTCTATTCATACTTTTTATGAAATAAAGCATTCGGTAGTTATGAGATCTGGACAACACGGTGGTCATATTACAGGTTCATCTCGTTCTGTACATCTATTCTGGTAGTTTGTTTTAAACCAGTCCCTCACAACTCTAAAATTATGTGTAGGGCAACCATCTAATTGAAAACACATTTGCTCTTTTAAATGTTGAGAAAGACCATGCCAACGTTAAATAAATCATTGTTCGAGAAATCAAGAAAAAGCTGTCCATTAATCTCGTGGCAAAAATGTCACTAAAATACTATCTTGAAACAATACCCATCGATACATCTTCCTGAAAGTTACAAAGGTATATTCTGTCATTTATTTATTTTTTTATTAAATATGTAAGTGACATAATTTTTCTACATACTTATTTTAACTGTTCTTTTTTGTGAAAGGTTAATAAGCCTCTGGTGTGTGTATTAATAAGTGCGAAACACTAGAATGATCCAACAGTACAGTAAGTAAATGACTTACTGGATACGTTAATGTATAGAAACGCTGATGAGGACTGCGACTTAGCTGCACTCTTTATATACAAAATAGGCATTCACGAACATTTTTTATAAACAGAGGGAGAATTATCGTCAGCGGTTCTAAAAAAGTTTTTATCGTATCAATATGGTAAGTCAGTGTGTATTTTTAAAAATATTCTACTTGCAAAAAATTCACCGGATGTTTCTCGAGTTGTTTTCCGGTTTAAATTGTTTACAATGTGTTAGGAATGAATATTAAATTCAATATCAAAATCTCCATCTTGTTTTTTATACATTTTTCATATTTCCGATACAATTACAATTTAATGCCATTATAATAAATAAAATAAATAATTAAATAAAATTTTAGTTTTTTTACACACAGGTACCACGCTAGTCAGAATGGCAGTTACTGTGATGTGATAACATTTTGTGATAAAAATTTAAGAATTTGTTTATGCTTTCCTGTAAAAAAATAACACATTATTAAAAGGATTATTTCAAATATATCTTCAGTTCTATTTTCTTTGCTATATTCTTTCATAGGGTACTATAGTGTCCAATTATTTCAAATGAAAATACGTCATGACCCTTTGAATATAAGAAATAGAAAGAAAATATATTTAAGTGTTTTTCAGTTCTCCAAAACTATTACATTAATTGCGATTACTCATGGATATTTAGAAATGACGCAAATGTTACGTTGCAAGAAGTATATCTTAAAAGATCTTCATTTTTACATAATGATCTATTTTCTTCCTTATTCGAATTGCTAGTTAATTACATTTTATTTTGCTGTATTATCTGATGCTCTCTAGAATTTACAACATCAAAATCTTTTGTTATTTTTTCTACTGCCTGTCTGTATTACAGTTAATTTTGCATAATGGTGAGCCACTGGACGAGTAAAAACATTGCATAAAATTATATGGCCTATGCGAAATATATTGTATTTTACTGGTAAATACATTTTTATCTAATAAATGCACTATTTGGTTTCGACTGTAAGAAAACAAAAAATGTGTTTTTTTTAGAGACACTGCTACGTTAATACTATAAATGTTGGTTATACCTAAATATTTCAAGATATAGGTACATGTGTGACTCTACTTCTGCACTTTCGAATGTATTTGTTTGCTATTTCAGTTCCAAGCACAGCACTTAACTGGATCAAAAATATGTAACTGGCCTTTTTATAACAAAAAATTGTCACGTCACTTGTAATTTGTATATTTTATATAACACTAAATTAAAATGTAGGTAATAAGCATTCTAAATTAAAGTAGGACGAACAGTTTTTGTAATTAAGCGCATTTAAATTAAGTCTTTGTAATTAAAAAAATATATATGATATTAATAATTAATAACTTATGTATCTACATAAAAGGTACTGACTACACAGTGTCACAAAAGAAAGTGGATTGGACTGGGAATTCGACCAATCTGTAATCAAATAGACCGGGTTTTCATTTAGAAACAATCAAATAAGTTGGTTGTCGGCCCACGATCGTGGCCCCACGTTGGGCGCCAGGACGCGGATTTTGCTCGGTTTCGCTGGCTTTCGGTGGAGATGACCTGTTTGTCTTTCCTCTGGGCATCATGAACGGGTCGTAGACCGTCATGATGGTCCTGAGTCCTTTTCCATCCCTGTGCTTGGTCGCCAGACGCCTGCTGGCTGGTAAAAGAGTTCCCTGTCATCTGACATGATTCCCTTTTGACGTAAGACCTTGAGGTCGTCAACAAGGGAAAATGGGATTTCCGATCCTCCGCCATCGATCGTGAGTTGTAGAAAGTTTAAAAACAGCATATATCTGAGAGTTTATGGATTTTTTGTAAAGAAATAACTCAGGTTGAGATTTCGATATGTGATTTATTTATGCTTGTTTGGTAGTACAGAAATGCGAATTCTTTTGTTTGTGGAGTACACACTCTAGTGCACTACGTCCTGGTTAAATAACTGTAAATGACCAGGGTGCGCGTTCACTCGCCGGCTGGGTGCATTCAGGTAGTCTGCCTGTTGCGTGGTCCAGTTTATTGTCACCCTATTATGGTCGGAGATGTTCCGTTCCTGGCTGGCATGGCTGTTTGTGTGAAGTTAGAAGTCTAAAATTAGACAAAGTTAATATTGACCCAGAGGTCTTGCAAGGGGTTGAATTTGAAGTCTATATTTTTCGCGTTTTTTTCGAAGGGGGAGCTTTGTCACGGGTTGTAGTCATCGTTCGATGGAACGAAGAACTCTCGGTGTATTCATTCCAAAAACTTCTCATTGCCTTGTTTCCCACTTTATGCTTAGGATTAGTCTAAACTAGTTCTAAAATTTTAGAGCGTGTTTAGATGCCAACGAGCTAACAACATTAAAAAACTTATAGACCAATTAGTCTGGACTTATGTTCCAGTGTGGTCAATATTTTGGCATTTATGCATATATGACAGCCTATATAAAAATGAAAGTTAATTTTTAAAATATCGGTAAACGAAAGCAGATTTGTATCGTTAGCTTTCTAGCTATATTACTGGAGTTTTATCTATTAAAAGTAAAACAAATTTCGTTTTCGTTACTATGAGAATATAAAACAAAACATCACAATAGGTTAAGAATAATATTGCGTATGTATTGCGCAAAAAGCTCTTATAGTTAAGGATTAAGAGTTAGCATTTTGAGTATCATTTATATAACATTCAGTGTTGCCAAATCAAGGAAAACATTAAAGATAAAATAAAACAAACATATAAAAAGCAATAATTATTTTAATAACGACAAAACACAACAATTTCTTAGGGAAATACTCAAACTTTAACTGGTAAAGGGCTCTTGGAAGGCTGTAGGTGCATAACTTCAGCGTTAAATCCATTGTATTTATCGACAGTGTACTTAACTATTCTTATACTGCCGTCAGCTTCGTGGAGAGAATATTCACCTTGGACTTTGTCTCCATCACGGACTTCTTTTTGAGAATGGATGTCACCTGTATGATGGTCCTCAATACCGTACACGAACTCATATTTGGGATGTCCCTGTGAACAAAATAAATTCAGTAATGATGAAAATTAAAGTAAGTGCATTTGTTGTTACGAGAGGTAGGAATATTTATCCACTGTTCAAACACGTTTGAAGATAAATAAATTTTGTAATTTATCTATCATACTTTAAATAATACTAATAATAGTAGTTGAAACATTACTAAAATTGGGCCTTACATGGTATTCATGAGGAGCCACTGCATGAGCAACAACAGGAGCAGACTGTACCATAGGGACCGTATGCTGAGGAATTATTGCTTTTGTCGATTGTGGAAGAGAAGTTTTACTGCCAAATACTGAGGCGTGAACCGATGGTTCATGATATCCTGGAGCGGCTTGAATGGAAGCAACAACCAGGGCGAAAATAACAACGAACTGAAATTAATAAAAATGCGTAAATAGTAACACGTGACGTAACAGTAGGACTAACTCATATCGATACAATAAATAAATAAAAGAAAAAAAGAACTTTATTGTTGAGAAGTTTCTAAATATTCTAATGTCCTTTAAATGTTATACGTGAAACAATTTTCTTTCTTTGTATAAATTCAAACTCAGTACGCTTTAGTTCTCTTAGTAACGGTGTAATATAGGTACCAAAAAAATAAACAAATGTTTTCATGGGAAATAGTTCAGATTTGAAATCTGCGTCGTCAACAAATAATTGATTGAAAACTATATTTCAGGTCTAATTTTTGAAGAATCATAGTCTTTAGAAAATGTTATTCTTGGTGCTTATTTTGTTAATTCTGACGGGAGGAAGTAGGACCGACTTTCAGTGTGCCGTTAAAACAGTTTGTTAACAGTTAAGGTTTAATGACAGTCAAAGTGTCTATTATGTAATTCTAAAAGTATTTTTGCAGTCAAATGTTATGTGCAATCGTTAAGAGAATTAACAACTACAGATGTCAGTGTTCCAGAAATAGATTTTTTTAATTCGTCGCTAACATATCTATACATAAATGTTTTTACTGAATATAAATGGTTGGTCAAAAATATAACAATTATTATGGCATTATGCAAAACAAAGTTTTTAATATTGATTCAAGAAAAATCGGAATACCTATTTAGTTAATAATACCTACATAATTTAGATATATATTTAGTAATGACAATATTAGTAGAAGTAGTTTTAAAAATATAGTATTTTTAGTAATTAGTCATCGCGATTTACATACTATAATAAAATTTGATTTAAGGAGGTTCGATACCGAAAAAAAAATGGTAAGAAAGTTTTCAAAATCATTGAAACCTGTTAATAAATATGCCAACTGGCTCGTGTAAAAATATCAGATCGATTGCCAATATAGTTTTTTTGAAAAATGATATTAAAAATTATGCTCTTATACACAGGCACAGGAATATAGCTCTTAAAAATGGTTAGGATGGGGAAAATAAAATTCTAATTAAAGAATTAAATATTACTAAACATTTTAAAACAATAAAAATATGCACTTACAATGTAATTATTGAGATACTGGAATGAATATATAACGTTTTGACAAATGTGAACAAACATCTGATCCAATAAAATGAAATACGGCAACACTGTACGCTGTATTTAACGCTTCGACTGACGCGCTATATTTGAATACCTGGATTATAGACTATAAAATTATTTCAGTCAAAAACATATGTAGTAATAATTAATATTAATCTAATGCAATATAATAGCAATTTGAAACAAGAATTGAAAGAATTTCGTTGAAAAACGAACAGTATAGATGTTCTGTCATAATCTTCAGTTTGACAAGGCGACGTATCACTGGTATCACTATCATACACTAAGCTTTTTTTCACTTTTTTCTCATCAATCCACATTCTGTTTCATACGCATTTTATATTGCTTTTCAGTCATTACTTTTCCTTTGTATCTTGGATGTTCATTCATGTTTACGAAATACGCGCAAAGCACAGTTGCCAGTAATGACAGTCGACCCAACTTTTACCACCACGCCATGGCAGTGGCAATGATGCCAGATTTCATCCATAATTTTACAAGCTCTTAATGAATAAATAGACACTTTTATTCAAATAAAAAGTTAATTGCCGTGCATTAAACACAAAAAATATATGCAAGCTAATATGTGTTGTATAAATTTCATTCGTATATATTATACATATTTAGTTCGCTCAAATTAGTTTACGTAAGGTTGGTACTACAACGAGACTACCGTGTATAAGCATAGGCTTCCCTCCCGAACCGCCTGCCCCGCAAGAGATGTATCGAACCTCCTTAATAGCGTATATTATCAATAAAAAATTTAAATACAGAAACAAAAAATTAATCGCACTCTAGCACGTCTCATAAATCTGCATATTCACGATATTTTGACAATTTTGGAAGTAAAAAAAGCGCTACTTGATGCAGTTCAACTGATCACCATAAGAGACGGGAATGGACTGTATCTTAATTTTTCTTAAATATTGAAAAGTTGTATCTTTAGAGGGTATATTTTCTTACTAATTACAAATTAATACGTCACGTCTGAGGGAGGTCATTTTGAACATTTGTTGTAGCTTTGCGCCTTTTCAAAATTTTATTAGTGTTATTTTCTGTTATTGTTCTGGTTTAATGTTATTGTATTAGATAGTTCTTGATAATGTATTAAAGAAATAAAAAATCCGCGTTAAGATGTTTTATTTTTTTTGCATCAAAACGGCGCCCCATACGAAGAAAAGGCAAGAGAAATTTTTTTGTCACAAATTTAACGAGGAATTCAATAATGATTTTTAGTTTGTAATATCTCAGTGGCGTACCATTTTTTTCTTTAAAAAAATTGAGATTATTACCCGTACGCGCGCCAATGATGAACATAAAATGTTTAATTGCGTGTCAATAAATGCGCAATAACTACTTCTTAAAACCCACCAAATTTCATTTGCACACCTCGTCCGGTTTCAGAGCAATAAATTAAATCGTCAGTTTTTAAGAAAAACTTTGACACCCCGTGTCTCGGAAAATGAATCATTTGCGGACATACGTTTATAAGCAAACTGCCATTATTTTCTCATATAGAATCATCCCCTGAAATTTGTCGCACTTATTTACTAACACCCTGTATAAGGTATATTAAACATTCTAGAAACTCCATCACAAATTGATCTTAATTCCACAAACAGCAAAAAAAGTTCCTGTTCAATTTTCTAAGGCATTTCTATACAGGCTAAAAATTTATAAACTGAATATGTTGATATAACGGACAGCTAGGCACGCTAACAAGCACTTCAAAGTATTTTTTACATTAACAAATACTTATATTTGTCCATGTTTAACCGTGGTCCTAGACCTGATAGTTCATAGCAACATTGCTTTTACATCCTTGTATATTTTAATACCAATTTTAATTGTTTTAAATATTTCGTTCTATGTAGATTTACAGTTTGAATTTTAAGTTATTCTCATGAAATTTGTAAATTTTATTATAGAAAAGAAAATATTACTTTTCTAAGCAAAGAAGGTACCTGCAAGTAATAGCCCCTGATACAATTAGTCACGGTCCGTGACATTTGTCGCCAAAGGACTTATTATGCTAGTTTGTATGTGATTCTTATGTTTGTCATCTACGAAAATCACAGTAGCAGTTTCTTAATTTATTCCAGAAGTGAATTAGAAATAAATTTCAAAGAACTTGTATAACTGACAAAATTAAACGTTAAAGAAAATGTCATAACCTTTCCAATATGACATTCCTGGCACTGTGAAGAAAATTAACTGTACTCAACTTTGACTCCTATTTTTCACTAAAATGGTAGCAATATTCTTCCAATAAAGCAACTCAATATTTCAATAATTTACTTCTTGCGTAATAAATACATATTGTTTAAATTAAAACACATCTTTGTATTTACCTTTGAATACATTTTTTTGGAACTTCTTGATCAAATCACAGAACATGACTGAATGAGAAGTTACAATTTCTCGTTTTATAATACCAATTTTTTGGTTAGGTACCCATTGTCACTATCATTTAATTAATATGTAAATCGCTGTATTACAATTACTTTACAAAATGTGCCAATTTTAATTCATATATACTCGTATTTTATGTAACATGTAGTTCAGAAATATTAAACAAACTGGAGCGGTTGTTCCTGCAGTTGCTAATAGTATTTGAGCTATGTAGTAGTCTCGACAGTGTAAGTAAATAGTTTGCAATTGATAAAATATTGTGTAAATTGAAATTAAGTGAAATAAAAATCCAAGATTTATAACAACATTTACTGTACGACAAAATTAGTTGTTAGTACCTAACATATGTCGTTTTTTGCAAACTCAATAGTCCATACGGAAAAAGATATTGGGATGCAATCTAAGATTAAACGAGACAGTTTAATTGACTGTTTAAAATAGATTTAACTATGTTATAGACAGTTTCTCACATACATTTGCCTGCATAATTTTGTATTATAATATTTTTTTAATATTAGTCTGTTATAAAAAAATATATTTTTTTATATTTGGGCGGCTAAGAATTTACAAATAAATATTTCTATTTGGAATATTCGATACACATCAACTTTCTCTTTTTTTAAATATATCTGTTATATAACAATTGCTGCACCGGGTGCACAATAATATCCTGCAAACAGTGAAGGGATCGAAGCGATCTCTATAAAAATGATTGAAAAATTACATCCAGTCAGTCTAGTCCATTTCCTTACCACCAAAATAGCATCACCATGATCGTCAAAGTAGGTAAACCATCGACAATTTAAATGAGTGTTTTAACTTTAATGTGCTACATAGTTTTAGTATATACAGTGCATAACAATAACTTTTGTAATAATTATAGGAAAAGTACAAGATATTATTTGTGTATATTTATTTTTGTTTAGATTTTCAGTGTAGCCTTGTTGCTAATTTGTTGTGAAGCAAGAATTATACCAGTATATGAAGAGTCTGAACTAAGGAATGCTACTCTTGCATCAGTTCCGGTAACTATTCCTACACAAATTCAAGAAAATATCGAAAATATACCGAAGAATACTACAACGACATCCACTGAAACTCCAGATTCATCGCCTGCTCCGGATCAAACTCAACCAGACATTCAAAGTATACCAAAAAGTACTGTAATGAGATCCACTGTAACTCCCGTACCAGTCCCAGGAAATTTTCCTGTTCAAAGCCAATTTATTCCTACATTGAGGCAAGATCAATTAGCTCCGTTACATAGTCATGTTTACCAACTCCAACCATTCTCAATTATTCCTTCACCGTTGGCAAGGAGTTTTTCTACGGTTGGGTCAACGTATTTTGCTCAGGATTTGGGCCTAGCTTCTGCTCCACATGCTACACAATACGAGGAACATAACGTAAGACTTTTTTTTTAATATTTTTTATTGATTGTTAGGTCATTTTGTAAGATAAACAATTTACTTCTTTATACTGCTTAGCTGTTCAAATCTACAGAAGTAGCTAAATGAGAACTCGCTGTTAGTGGAATAGAAGTATAAATAGAAAACAGAAAACTTTGTATTTGTTTTTAAATAATTCGGTGATACGTTTTGGGAAATCGAAAAAATAATTTTAATTAACACAAGTAAATTATGGAAACAGAAATGTATTACAATTCTCTGTAATCATTTCAAAACTGAAAACTAAATAATTTTAAATTTGTAATAAAATTTTAGTAAAATTTTACATTTACCTATATTTATACAGGCCCATTACAATATTTCAGAGACTATTTCGATTTAAATTTAGAAAATTTTGGGCCTGGATTTTCGAGGATGCTCTCTTTAAATAAAATAATGTCATTCTTGTAGCACTTCCGGTTATATCGGAAGTCGCATCCACTTGCTTATTTTACTCCCTGTATATTTTTGCATATTTGGAGTTTACGCATAGTTTTAGAGGGACTTCCCTATATCTGTCTCTAATGGTCTTCAAGATATTTCAATTGTTTAAAAAAAGTTGCTTTTCGTTAGCTTAATTAAAAAATTCCTGTATTTTACATCGTGCAAGCTTTTTGAAGATATTGATATTTGAAAGAGATATAGGAAGATGCCTGTCCTTTGTTACAGTTATTTTAAAAACTGTTTATTTTTACACAAGGTGAAAATTTATTGTCGAATTTGCTTAACTTGTAACCACCAAAACATGGTTTTTCTAAATGGAACACCCCGTATATTTACTCAAAAACTGTTGTAGAATTTCACCCTCTATCTATCCATATTAGGTACACCTCCCAATATCTATCACTTTTAATTTTTCTGTAATTGACGGTTTTTGTGACAATTAAAATGGTTTCTTGCGAGGATGGCTGTGAACTTCCCAGGAAATTTAAAAACAAAACAACCAATACATCATAAAGTCAGTGGTACTTAGTTAAATATTGATGTGAAAATAATCGAAAACAATACGTATTCAAATGCTGATATTTTAAATTGGTTATTTATTCATGGGCAATGGAATTATAAATAGAACATGCAGAATTTTTGCACTACCTATGAATAAATAATAAATTTTAAATATCAGCATTTAAATACGGTTATTTCCATTATTTACAGTCAGGGATAGTTAAATACTGATTTGGTTGCTTTGTTTTTAAGTTTGTTAGCAATTTCACATCCATCCTCTCAAGAAAGTGAGTCTTTTTCATTACTTATCAAAAAAACCGTCAATAACAGAAAAATTAAAAGAGATCGGTATAGGGATGTGTAATATGGATAGATAGAGAGTAAAATTTTTCAACAGATTTTGATTAAATATACAGGGTTTCCAATTTAGAAAAACCAAGTTTTGGCGGTTCAAAGTCAAGTAAATTTGAGAATAAATTTTCATCACATTGTGCAAAATTAAAGTAACTGTAATAAATGAGAGGCTATCGCTATCTCCCTCCCAAATATCAATACTTCAGTTTACATGATCCAAAAAATAGACAATTTTGAATTAGGCTATCGAAAAGCAACTTTTTTTTGAAAGAATTGAAATATCTCGAAGACCACTAGTGATAGATATAGCGAAGCTTGATGAAAGTTCCCCTAAAATTACGCTTAGCATTCAAATATGCAAAATATGTAGTTCTATTTAAAATAAGCACGTAGATGGCGACTGCCGGTATGACCGGAAGTGGCATTATTTTATTTAAAAAGAACACATCTGAAAATCGCAGAGCCTAAATTTTCCAAATTGAAATCGGAGTAGTCTCTGAAATATTCTAAGGGCCGTCACCATAAGACAGTCTGTAAAGTGTTGGAGTAAAGTTGATACATGGTACAGAAGAAATAACTTTGACGAAAGCGATGTATTTTCCATAGTTATTTTACCACATTTTTTTACTTCTGTATTCGAAAAGTTTGGATAATTTTGAACATTAACATAGATATTTCAGCACAAAACTAACTTCTAATACTTGTCTAAAATTTAAGTTCTAACAAGCTTTGTAAGTTTGTTACACTATTTCTGTCACACTCGGTATAAATTTAGGAGTATTATATGGCAAGCAAATTGAAACATCTTACGAAGCTTTAACGTGTAAAATAAGATTTAATCATCCCCATAAAAAGTGAATTGAGTAAAGAATAATCGAAATGGACTATCTCCCATCACTTGTTGCATAACGTCCTTTGTCATAATCAGATACCATACTTATTAACAAACTTTCGATTATCAGATGACTTTTAATAGGTTTATCCCAAGTATTCCTTCACTTACGGAGTTGAAGATCATCACACTGGCGATATCCATTCTCAAAAAGAAACACGGGATGGAGATACTGTGTATGGAGAATATTCACTTCTCGACGCTGATGGTTTTATTAGGACAGTGAAATACGTTGCGGACAGTAAGCATGGTTTTAGGGCTGTAGTCGAAAGATCTAGGAAAGGAGGTCTTGCTTAGTTTACTTTGTTACTTTTGTTTTACTCAAATGTTTGTTGTATATTTTTTGTTTGTTGAATAATACAGTTTAATATCGTTAAATGACTCTTTATTTCATAGAAACCTTTCCACCTTTTTAAGGTAGATGCTCTACCCGATTTCGTTCCTCAAATAGTTGTAATTTGATTTGAATGATATTAAATTTATTTAGATATATAAATAACACTGTTTACATAGATTCGTCCAAATGTAGTATGTCAATTTTCAGTTTGAATTGAAAAACAGTTGGTATTTTTATAACAATAAGTTACAATGTATGTAAGTCCCATACATAACATTAAAATATTTTGATAAGAATCACACAGAATAGAAAATACAACATATCTACATATATTTTCTGTACAAATATGGTGTCTCAAAGTATAGTTCCAACTGTAAAGCCATTTGTACAGGCATAACACATACGTTAAAAAACATAATACAAGTCCTATACAGAACTATTAAAACTATTATTTAATAAAACATCACTCAATATATTAATAGGAGATTGATAGTATAAAAAGTGAACCTCGAGAGAAAATCGTCCAAGGATTTTATTTTTTAGAAGTTAAATAATATTGGTATATTTATACTACAGAGTAAAAAACTTTATTTGTAACTTTTTATTTTATTTTTAAATATTATAAATTGTAACGATCTAGTTCTTGGGCTTAGTTTATTATACATATTTCAATTTAGGGAATTCTTTTTGGATTTTGTTAATTTAAATTTTGGTATCAAAAAATTTGCTTTCCTTGTACTGTGACTATGAAGGTCACCTTGTATACTAAAATCATTCCTATTATTATATACATATGTCTAAAATACTGTGGTAAGTAAATAAGAGACAAGGGTATTAAACTGAATTAAAAAAAAGTCGCAGTCGCGGAGATTAGCATTGGCTAAAATACGAATTATTTTATTTTGTTTGACAGAAAACTTTTCCGGCTGCACTGGAATTACCCCATAACATTACAGCAAATGAAATGCTTTTAGGTATCCAATATTTCGTACACATATTAATAAATATTGTTTTGCTTTAGAAAGTTGTACCCGTTTACAAAAGTAAGACACAAAAGATCGTACTAAATAACAGCAATAATTTTAAGGCTATTTAATATAGATATACGGGGTAATTAAATCGTAATGTCATTAATTTTAAGGGAAGCTAGGGTAGATGAGTAGAATACCAATACACGATTTAAAAAAATCTAAATGCATATTTACGCTAAAGAAAATATTTTGAAATCATTATTTCGGACCTCTCCTGAGCTGACTTACAAAGGTTTATCGAGAGTGAATCTTGACCTACCGTATTTGGTCCCTAACCTTGTACTGCGTTTTTAATAGTAAACGACAGAAACATACCTTTTTACCTAATTAATGAATAAGATATTTTTAATACATTTTAAATATTAACAGGTATTATTTATTTGTTAATAAAAACAAATGTATAAGGATAATAATTATTCTCGAATGTTAGATTATTTAGTATTTTTAATGTTGTTAACGGTTTCACTTTTTACTTCTTGACACTACTTCAAAAGTAATCCTTAAATAATTAAATATTTTATTAAACCCGAAACAAATACTTTTACTTGTGTGAACCGTTGCTTTAATCTTCCTAATATATTTATTTGCTGTTACTGTTTTAAATACTTTTAGTATCTTTCAAATTTTTAAGTATCTATATTCTAATTTCCTACCTACTCCAGCTTGAATATTGTAAGGATGGTAATTGTTGGGATTAATATTGCCAAAGGTTTAAAAGTCTTGAATAGAAAAAAACACATATGTATAACAAATTCGGTGTGACACAAAGTTACCAGGTTTTCGTAGTTTAATGAGCTTAACCGGTTTCTTCACAGATTGAGTATTAGAAAAGAATTATCACTATGAAAACTGTTAGTTTACAAATAATTTAAGCGGTTTTTATAATTGATTATAAGCATACGCATTCACAGCGAGTATCTTTTTCAGCCCAGAAAAGAAAATTAGGATCATGTCCGTGTCACAGAAAAAGAACGCGCAAAAAGCAAATACAGAAATACACAATAAATCAAATTTAAACGAAGGCAACAAGACATAATTTGCAATATTTATTTAAATTTTTAATAAGAACATTTACAAAACAAACACAGATACAATTTATAGATTTTCCAATGCTATGACTATTGAGGTCAACGAAGCACACACAAAACTAGTAATTTTTATTAATAATTTACTTATGAGTTACTTGTTTAACCAACAATGTATATCCCTTGTGGTTAACCACAACTGGAATCAAGAATAATTCTTCAATTAATGTAATGTAATTACTTTACCATAAAAATGTGACTCGTAAGCGTGGGGGTAGTTACGCTAACTATCCATGTCAAAGTTGCTGGGTTCAATATCAAATAATCAAAGGAACAAATTTCAATGAACAGTCTTTTATTTTTTACTAGTTAGATCAGTCCTAATGGGTATAATAATTTTTCAACATGGGTGAAAATCGATAGAAGCAAGACTTTAAAATGATTTATTATTAGTGTTGTATTATTACTAACAGTTTCATTAACAATATTACCTCTCATCATCAGGCAATAAGGATACAATACAGAGTAGTGATTTAATCAACTTTATATGAACCGCTACAAACGTAGATCAAATGAATTCTATCGTATTATCGATGTTGCCCAATCTGCTCATGGGCTAAAAACGTGTCCAGTCAGACGGTAGCGACAACAACCAATATTTGTCATTGGCGACTAGTTGCCGGAAATAAAGTTGCTGTGCGTAGATGTATGTCTGATTGTTTATGCCGTCTGTACAAAGTTTTTCCATGTTGCATGTCTCGATAGCCTAAACTTCAAAGAAAATTGAGCAACAGGCTTCGACAAGATGGGACTTGCTGGATCTGGTTCTCTTAGTGTAGGCAGTTTATTGTCGTATTTCCAATTCCGAGCTTCAAAATTCACCCACCTTTCCATTCGGGACTGGGAAACCGAAAAAATCCAGATAATCAGCAATCCACCGTCAGAGCCAAGGATGTTGTCCATTTGGACCCAGAATTCTTGTTTGGAGAAGCCCAGAATACAATTTTCATCAGGCTCCGGAGAATTAGATCGTGGAATCCCATCTCGAAGCTAAGCAATGAGAAGATTACTAAGTTTCAGGGACTAAGGAGCACCAGAACTAACTGGATGCCCATAATCTTCTAGTTCCACCAACAGTATGAATGTTATTTCTTATCATTTTATTGTAGCATGAGTGATCTAGCAAGAAAATATGTCCCGGTGGGCAAATGAATAATTTTTTCTTGTCCATAAATGCCCTTCAGTAAGGAAAGCGTATTCAATCGGTCCTTTTTCACTTTCAAGGTTTTTAAGTTTAAAAGTTTATCAAATATTATTATTTTGTGAACACAGCTTTTTCTACTATTGCGACATATTTGTTATAATTGGGAGAACATAGATCAACAAAGTCGACACGTCTTAAGATAGAACTATTTCATATACCTAGAAACAATTCTTATATACAATTTCAAACATCATGGACCAGTGTTCCAGCATTAACTAAAAAGTTAATAAGAGTTGTTTTGTTCTGGAAGTTTTCCACATAGTTATATAATGATATGGTCTCATTTACATCGCCAAATGACCTAGCACACCCGATAATTGCAAAGCGTTCCAGTCAGGTACGACACATTTAGATTCGTTTCGGTGTTGAAATATATGACAAAATAACACGCCCCTGACACACCCTATCTTAGGCACAATAAACTGAATTATGTTGTAGACTAGATCGCAATAATCTGTAGTATTCATTTACAACACCTGTAGTATTTTTGACCTTCAGTAACTCCTGCAAGACCGTTCCGCAGTTGTGATCAGAACAGGATTTCGTTATTATTTATTAGTAGTATTTTTTCCATTATGAAATTCATTCATCGACAAGTACCTGAAATGTATGTAGAAATAATTCAATTGAACTTCAATTGTTCATTATTTGCACAATGATGCAATAAATATTTTTTTAATATAACAATAAGTTTAATTTTTATTATTACTGAACAATTGTAATGTAATGACTGTTTTTTAATAATCATAATTATTATTGAACATTTTTAATGATAATTTTGAATATACTGATTTATTATAAGATTAGGACGTTCAATTCTTACATTAAAAACTTCTTTTCATATTTTGGATGAAGAATGCAAATCTCAGTATTATGTTGTTTTATAGTGTGTAATTGGTACTTGACGTATAAATCAAATTTTACGCTTTTATTTAAATAAACATTATATAAACGAGAACGTGAGAAACATTCAATGCTTCCTCTAGTTCTCTCCCAACAAACTCACAAATCCTAAGAAATATTGGTATAACACATATCAGGATGTTTTCTGAATTTATTTCATAACTGCATAATGTAGTATCTAAAAAAAAGAGGTTGACTTAATAAGAAAAATGAACCTCCTTAAAAGTTACCCTTTGTGTTTAAAATAAGTTTGTTCAAAATATAATTTTAAGTAAACTTCAAGTGTGAAGCAAAAATGTATAAAAATATATAATTAAAAATTTCTACTGCAATTATTTTTTTTAATTTCTGATGTTTGGAATTAAATGAGCTTATTCATTATTCATTTTCCTTTTTTCCAAAACATATATCAGCATGATTTCATTAATTTTTTTATCTAAAATATCAGCTCAAAATTTTATTTATTACATGCTTGGCTTCAATAATTTTGTATTCAAAGAAACAAGAATTTTCTATGGTTTCTAGAAAAACATCCGATACCACAAAGGAAATGAACACATATTCAACTTAAAACTGTTTCATATAGAATAAAATCCATATTATTAGGTAGTTTTAAATACCCGGTAAGTAATATCTGGATATATTAGCTACCCTTTCATTATCAGTATTATCCAAAGAGTTATATTATTATTCACATATCCTACGAGGTTTATTAATTTTTTTTTGACGGAATAAATGGCTATAATGACACCCTCAATAGCTAATACTTAATATATATCTGCATATATATTATGTAGCATAAATGGTTTTAGGCGCTATGTTTGACTTCCTTTTTGAAGTTAAAATATGTTAAATACACAAGTGAGTATATAATTTGTGTCTTGCAGGAGTACTTTAGCGAAACTTACATATTTGTACAACAATTTCTCTAATATCGTTATATAACTTTTACAATACGTTAACGCACTTGTACGTCAAGTGATCTAATTTATAACCGATTGCCAAATTCGCAAGTAGTAAGTACAGCTTTTAATTAAAATTGTTATGTACTTCCATTTACACAGTTTCACAAGAGAAGAATAATCTAAATCAATCAAACCTAGAGCAATGATCTGGGTCAGTTTAAATAATGAATTACGTAACTAATGTAAGTAAATGCGATATTCGGACTACACCCATTTCATTTACATCTGACAAAAATTTTCATTAATTTTTTTCGATTGGTACTGTATCATTAATTCTCTTAACCAGGTGAATGTAATATGATCACTTTGGTATAAAAATATGTATGGACATTTTTCTAATCAGTATTCGCTCAGGTGTTCTAGTGAAATATTAAACATGTTTAGCAAGGTAAGATCGTCTTGAAAATTACATTAGTAGGAATTAAAAAAGTGTATCTAAAAAGATTTGAGTTTATTGAGAAAAGTTTGCTTTCAAAAATTTTTAGTATAATCTAATGAATTCATAAAGTACTTATAAAAATAATACTATTACAAAAAATGTGTATGCAATATATGTATAGATATAGATAAACTTAATTAAAAAGCAGTCCAATGAAAATGCCCCTCTCGCAAATTGTAGATAAACAATAAGAAAATGTGAAATTTTCCTTTTTTTTTATAAAATAAAAAAGTATCTAATGTAAACATTTCCGTTTAAAATAAATTATTCATTCACATCATGTGCAAATGATTGAGTGAACAAAGAAAGGGTACACAGAACATTTAGTATAACTTAAATTATTGAAACTGTATGAATCCTACTCAAATACATTTGGATTAACTTTTTATGTAGCCGTATAAGTAATGTTTAATTAACAATGTTAATTAATTGCTACTTTTTGTTTGCGTAAACCACCTAGTAGAAATAAAATTTAACATTCTAATATAACAAAAATAAATACATATAGGAAAAACTGATACATTTAATAATTTTCTAAATTATCTTTTGTTCAAATTTCAGTGTACAGGGCGATTCTAATTCTCCGGTATTGCGAATTACTTCTTTATTATTAAGATATTTGAATGGCACGAAATGTAGGCATACCTATGTAAAAAGAAAAAAATATATTTTTTATCGATATGGGCTTGTTTATGGCCTGATTTATAAGTTAGGTTTTTTCATAATACAGTTACACATATTAATTATTATCATTATTTTCTAGATACTTTGCACTGTTCTATTGGTGGCTTGCGCCCAAGCTGCCCACGAGGCCTTGTCCACAGTATCCTTCAACGACCATCATAACACGGTGCATCACATTCACTCAGCTCCATCTATTGTTAAAACTGTAGCTGCTCCAGTGCACGTTGCTTCCGCTCCTGCTGCTCCTCTGTTCCAATCATTCGCTGGTCACGGTGACTCTTCTCTCCACCATTACACTGCTCCTGTTGCTTCCTCCCTTCATTTCACCCCTGTAGTAGCTTCTGCTATTCAAGGAATTAAAACTGCCCCTGCACACCACGCTTCTTCTTACTCTAGCTTGTCTATTGGTCACTCTGCTCCATCGAGCGGTTTGGGTGCTTCTTCTCTTCATGTTGCTCCAGCTGTCCATGCAGTCCCTGTAGTTCATGCCGCTCCCGCTGTCCACTCTGCTCCTGTTTTCCATTCTGCTCCTGCCATCCACGCTGCACCAGCTGTTCATGTTGCACCAGCTGTCCATGTAGCACCAGCAGCTGCTCATCATGTCGAAGAATATGTAAGTACAATACTTAAGCAACGAGTGGAGTGATATGATATTTTAAAAACTATATGAAGTAAAATAGATGTAATACACTCATTATCGTGTAGCTAAATCACATCTTTGAATTCGAGAAAAATACATATTTATTGCAATAGCGTTTTGATGTTTTCCTCAAGTTAAAAAGCAAAAGCAGTAATTTTTCCTGTTCAAATGATTTTAGAACAGCAAATGATACTCATAATGACCAACTGAATATTTCAGTGGATTATGCTAATATGAATGTAGTAAAATTATTATCAAATTAGGNTCCAGAGAATTAGATCGTGGAATCCCATCTCGAAGCTAAGCAATGAGAAGATTACTAAGTTTCAGGGACTAAGGAGCACCAGAACTAACTGGATGCCCAAAATCTTCTAGTTCCGCCAACAGTATGAATATTATTTCTTATCATTTTATTGTAGCATGAGTGATCTAGCAAGAAAATATGTCCCGGTGGGCAAATGAATAATTTTTTCTTGTCCATAAATGCCCTTCAGTAAGGAAAGCGTATTCAATCGGTCCTTTTTCACTTTCAAGGTTTTTAAGTTTAAAAGTTTATCAAATATTATTATTTTGTGAACACAGCTTTTTCTACTATTGCGACATATTTGTTATAATTGGGAGAACATAGATCAACAAAGTCGACACGTCTTAAGATAGAACTATTTCATATACCTAGAAACAATTCTTATATACAATTTCAAACATCATGGACCAGTGTTCCAGCATTAACTAAAAAGTTAATAAGAGTTGTTTTGCCCTGGAAGTTTTCCACATAGTTATATAATGATATGGTCTCATTTACATCGCCAAATGACCTAGCACACCCGATAATTGCAAAGCGTTCCAGTCAGGTACGACACATTTAGATTCGTTTCGGTGTTGAAATATATGACAAAATAACACGCCCCTGACACACCCTATCTTAGGCACAATAAACTGAATTATGTTGTAGACTAGATCGCAATAATCTGTAGTATTCATTTACAACACCTGTAGTATTTTTGACCTTCAGTAACTCCTGCAAGACCGTTCCGCAGTTGTGATCAGAACAGGATTTCGTTATTATTTATTAGTAGTATTTTTTCCATTATGAAATTCATTCATCGACAAGTACCTGAAATGTATGTAGAAATAATTCAATTGAACTTCAATTGTTCATTATTTGCACAATGATGCAATAAATATTTTTTTAATATAACAATAAGTTTAATTTTTATTATTACTGAACAATTGTAATGTAATGACTGTTTTTTAATAATCATAATTATTATTGAACATTTTTAATGATAATTTTGAATATACTGATTTATTATAAGATTAGGACGTTCAATTCTTACATTAAAAACTTCTTTTCATATTTTGGATGAAGAATGCAAATCTCAGTATTATGTTGTTTTATAGTGTGTAATTGGTACTTGACGTATAAATCAAATTTTACGCTTTTATTTAAATAAACATTATATAAACGAGAACGTGAGAAACATTCAATGCTTCCTCTAGTTCTCTCCCAACAAACTCACAAATCCTAAGAAATATTGGTATAACACATATCAGGATGTTTTCTGAATTTATTTCATAACTGCATAATGTAGTATCTAAAAAAAAGAGGTTGACTTAATAAGAAAAATGAACCTCCTTAAAAGTTACCCTTTGTGTTTAAAATAAGTTTGTTCAAAATATAATTTTAAGTAAACTTCAAGTGTGAAGCAAAAATGTATAAAAATATATAATTAAAAATTTCTACTGCAATTATTTTTTTTAATTTCTGATGTTTGGAATTAAATGAGCTTATTCATTATTCATTTTCCTTTTTTCCAAAACATATATCAGCATGATTTCATTAATTTTTTTATCTAAAATATCAGCTCAAAATTTTATTTATTACATGCTTGGCTTCAATAATTTTGTATTCAAAGAAACAAGAATTTTCTATGGTTTCTAGAAAAACATCCGATACCACAAAGGAAATGAACACATATTCAACTTAAAACTGTTTCATATAGAATAAAATCCATATTATTAGGTAGTTTTAAATACCCGGTAAGTAATATCTGGATATATTAGCTACCCTTTCATTATCAGTATTATCCAAAGAGTTATATTATTATTCACATATCCTACGAGGTTTATTAATTTTTTTTTGACGGAATAAATGGCTATAATGACACCCTCAATAGCTAATACTTAATATATATCTGCATATATATTATGTAGCATAAATGGTTTTAGGCGCTATGTTTGACTTCCTTTTTGAAGTTAAAATATGTTAAATACACAAGTGAGTATATAATTTGTGTCTTGCAGGAGTACTTTAGCGAAACTTACATATTTGTACAACAATTTCTCTAATATCGTTATATAACTTTTACAATACGTTAACGCACTTGTACGTCAAGTGATCTAATTTATAACCGATTGCCAAATTCGCAAGTAGTAAGTACAGCTTTTAATTAAAATTGTTATGTACTTCCATTTACACAGTTTCACAAGAGAAGAATAATCTAAATCAATCAAACCTAGAGCAATGATCTGGGTCAGTTTAAATAATGAATTACGTAAGTAATGTAAGTAAATGCGATATTCGGACTACACCCATTTCATTTACATCTGACAAAAATTTTCATTAATTTTTTTCGATTGGTACTGTATCATTAATTCTCTTAACCAGGTGAATGTAATATGATCACTTTGGTATAAAAATATGTATGGACATTTTTCTAATCAGTATTCGCTCAGGTGTTCTAGTGAAATATTAAACATGTTTAGCAAGGTAAGATCGTCTTGAAAATTACAATAGTAAGAATTTAAAAAGTGTATCTAAAAAGATTTGAGTTTATTGAGAAAAGTTTGCTTTCAAAAATTTTTAGTATAATCTAAAGAATTCAAAAAGTACTTATAAAAATAATACTATTACAAAAAATGTGTATGCAATATATGTATAGATATAGATAAACTTAATTAAAAAGCAGTCCAATGAAAATGCCCCTCTCGCAAATTGTAGATAAACAATAAGAAAATGTGAAATTTTCCTTTTTTTTTATAAAATAAAAAAGTATCTAATGTAAACATTTCCGTTTAAAATAAATTATTCATTCACATCATGTGCAAATGATTGAGTGAACAAAGAAAGGGTACACAGAACATTTAGTATAACTTAAATTATTGAAACTGTATGAATCCTACTCAAATACATTTGGATTAACTTTTTATGTAGCCTTATAATTTAAGTAATGTTTAGTTAACAATGTTAATTAATTGCTACTTTTTGTTTGCGTAAACCACCTAGTAGAAATAAAATTTAACATTCTAATATAACAAAAATAAATACATATAGGAAAAACTGATACATTTAATAATTTTCTAAATTAACTTTTGTTCAAATTTCATTGTACAGGGCGACTCCAATTCTCCGGTATTGCGAATTACTTAGATATTAAAATATTTGAATGGCATACCTATGTAAAAAGAAATAAATATATTTTTTATCGATATGGGCTTGTTTATGGCCTGACTTATAAGTTAGGTTTTTTCATAATACAGTTACACATATTAATTATTATTATCATTATTTTCTAGGTACTTTGCACTGTTCTATTGGTGGCTTGCGCCCAAGCTGCCCACGAGGCCTTGTCCACAGTATCCTTCAACGACCATCATAACACGGTGCATCACATTCACTCAGCTCCATCTATTGTTAAAACTGTAGCTGCTCCAGTGCACGTTGCTTCCGCTCCTGCTGCTCCTCTGTTCCAATCATTCGCTGGTCACGGTGACTCTTCTCTCCACCATTACACTGCTCCTGTTGCTTCCTCCCTTCATTTCACCCCTGTAGTAGCTTCTGCTATTCAAGGAATTAAAACTGCCCCTGCACACCACGCTTCTTCTTACTCTAGCTTGTCTATTGGTCACTCTGCTCCATCGAGCGGTTTGGGTGCTTCTTCTCTTCATGTTGCTCCAGCTGTCCATGCAGTCCCTGTAGTTCATGCCGCTCCCGCTGTCCACTCTGCTCCTGTTTTCCATTCTGCTCCTGCCATCCACGCTGCACCAGCTGTTCATGTTGCACCAGCTGTCCATGTAGCACCAGCAGCTGCTCATCATGTCGAAGAATATGTAAGTACAATACTTAAGCAACGAGTGGAGTGATATGATATTTTAAAAACTATATGAAGTAAAATAGATGTAATACACTCATTATCGTGTAGCTAAATCACATCTTTGAATTCGAGAAAAATACATATTTATTGCAATAGCGTTTTGATGTTTTCCTCAAGTTAAAAAGCAAAAGCAGTAATTTTTCCTGTTCAAATGATTTTAGAACAGCAAATGATACTCATAATGACCAACTGAATATTTCAGTGGATTATGCTAATATGAATGTAGTAAAATTATTATCAAATTAGGTTTCGTTTTTACTTTATCCGTTATATCTGTTTTCACAACAATTTAATGATAATAGTTCTGTGTACCTACTGAACCTATTAGCCGACATATACTTTTGTGATATTTAAGTTTAAAAAAAATATTTGAGGACCATATTTTAAAAAATGAGAAAATTTAATCTTTTTCATCAATTAACTACTCTACAATCTATGTTTTATATTTTAGGAAACTAAAACTATGATTTTAAAGTGTATTTTTTATTATTTTCAGTAAGTGCAAAACACACTGTTTTTTTATTACACAATTGCCGAAATATATCTTTACAGCAATAAATACCGCTTACTCACCTATCCTCACATTTACGACCTAGTTTAAATTACTGAAAGTATTATAATATACACAATACTTATACTATACAAATATCTAAAATATATACTAATTAATCTTGTAATAATTACCAAAACTGACAGTTAAGTCATTAGGTGTACTGCGTTATAAGGTAATGGTAAAGTATGAAATAAATATCTTAGCTACTCCTGAAAATTTTGGTAATAAATGTGGCACATAACTAGATTTGACAGAATTGAAAAACATTTTGATGAAACATTTTTTAGTCTCATCCAAAATACGAATTCGCTTATGGAGTTGAGGATCACCACACTGGTGACATCCATTCCCATAAAGAAGCTCGCGACGGTGATGTCACCCATGGCGAATACTCCCTCCACGAAGCTGATGGTACCATCAGAACTGTTAAGTACACAGTGGATAAACATAGCGGTTTCAACGCTGTAGTGGAAAGAACAGGACATTCTACCCATGCTCAACCAGCCCCATCTAAAGTTATTGTAGCCAAAGCCCCTGTAGCAGTTCCAACCTACAATCACCATCATTAGACCAAAATAACAACATTTATGATTTAAATTAATTTATTATATTAACAGTATTTATTTTCTAATAATAAAGATTATTTATCTTTATGTACTAAATGTAGCATTTTTCCTATTTCCATAATTAAGCTATCTTTTTCGGATCATTTTTTAAAAACATTTGCTATTGTGCATGGTAGTAGTCTCCAAATAAAAATATATGTCCCTTTACCAAAAATATTATCGTTGCTTTCAGTGCAACCTGCTCGTGGCAATAATAAAGTTCTATGGAGCATCGCTTGAACCCTATTCTGATCTTCATCTTCACTTGCCGTCATTTTGAAATGAAATGAGTCCTATACTGAAAGAAATGGGCTTATTAAACTGTTTATCTAGAATAATGTGTATAGCGCATATTAAAACATTTATAACCAATATACAACTTTTATTAAAAAAAAGCAATCATCTCCATACTCCTTATTCAATGAGTTTAACTGGAAGGTGCTTAATACACCTTATGCATCTATGAAATAAAGGTTATAATGAATTACTTATACATTATTAGGTGTTATAGACTTTATGTTCCAATTGTAT